GCCTCTGAACTGGCTGGTATTTGTAGCCTTCAGTGGTATTTAGTGAGTTTGACATTGTGTATGTAAAAGTAGTGGATCAGTATAAAGGCAAGAGTAACATCTCTTAAAACAGGCAGTCAACACATGAACTCCTGCACTGGTCTAAATTTCCATCATCTATCAGTGGGAAAGGTGCTGCTCTTTAAGCCACCATAAAAGCCAAGTTAGTTCTAAACATTTTGGAAAAGAGGTACATGCTAGGAAATCCTGAGTGATGATGAGTTGGCCTAACTCAGTGGTTGGCAAACCGCGGCTCGCGAGCCACATGCGGCTCTTTGTCCCCTTGAGTGTGGCTCTTCCACAAAATACCACGTGCGGGCGCGCACATACAGTGCGATTGAAACTTCGTGGCCCATGCGCAGAAATTGGTTTTCTGCCTGGGCGAGTCTATTTTGAAGAAGTGGTTCGGAAGTGGGGGTGTCGGTTGGTCAGGCGGCGGGAGACACAGCGGCAGGCGGGCCGAGGGATACGCTGCGTGGGGGAGGCATGCACGATTCATGGACAAGTTCAGTGAGTCAATCAAGATGAGTGTGGCCCTAACTGGTTTGGCTCAGTGGATAGAGCATCGGCCTGCGAACTGAAAGGTCCCAGGTTCGATTCTGGTCAAGGGCATGTACCTTGGTTGCGGGCACATCCCCAGTGGGGGGTGTGCAGGAGGCAACTGATTGATGTTTCTAACTCTCTATCTCTGTCCCTTCTTCTCTGTAAAAAATCAATACAATATATTAAAAAAAAAAAAGACGAGTGTGGATGGGAGAGTTGGAAGGGGTCGACCTCAGCAAACGTACCTCAATCAGATTGAGGACGTTTTTAGCAAAGGTCAGCATAGGAGTACCCTAATTAAGTTAACAATGTACCTACCTATATAGTTTAAGTTAAAAAAATTTGGCTCTCAAAAGATATTTCATTCGTTGTACTGTTGATATTTGGCTCTGTTGACTAATGAGTTTGCCGACCACTGGCCTAACTGATCCCAGATTTGCTCCATTTTCTACCACTGGCCAAATCCTGCTCCTAATTTCTGTGGCACAGCCCTAATTAGACATGTGTCTATCACAGGACTTTGTCTCCCAGATGCATTTGCTCCTTCAGGTAGATTCCTAGGAAGCACTGGCACCATGGTTTGCCCTTTGCCAGCACTTCTGCCCCTGTAGGGGTTATGGATGAGGGGTAGGACCTCAGACCTCTCTATTTCGGGAGATAGAGACAGGAACAGCAACTGACAAGTAGATATATTAACATTGTATTAAAAGGCCTAGTAGGGCTCCACAAACTCGAATTTCTAACAGTTCCAGTGAAATGCCTTGAATACCACAAGATGTCCTTACTCCTAAATCATCTGAGTTCACTTAATATAAAAATCCAAACCTGTTCTCTTACATCTAAACATTGGGAGAGAATTTCCTTTGGAAAGTCAAGTTGATAGTTTCATTTCATTCTGGTCTTTGTGTTTGATTATGACTACAACGGGGTTACTATTCTAACAGGGACTTTGAATTTCCTGAATCGATTTCCCTCTGGGTAGCAGGCAGAGGAAGTATCTGACTTTTTTTTCACTTTCCTGGGTGGCCTGCATACTGTCTCACTGCCTTGTCATTTGTTGCCTTCTTTCCCCTTATCTCTGGTCAGTGTGATAATGAACAACAAAGCTGAAAGCTGGAGGGCTGTGTGCACTTACAAATTGCCTGTGCTGTGAATGCCAAAAGGCCAGAAAGCCAGTTTTGTAGTGAAATAGAGTAATGTTCTAAGAAATGCCTTCATTGAGGAAGAGAACAAGGGGGAACAGTGGAACATAAAGGAGGATAGAGTGTTTCTACATTTAGATTCCTGAATTGGCCATTTATAGTTTTGTGGGAAGACAAAATGAGGAGCAGCTATCTCAAAAGGTTTTATCATTTCAGTTATCCAAGATCTCTATTCTAGAAAGTTTCTACTTGGTGGTAAAATAAAGTCTTGACCTTAATATATCTCAGATTGGCTGTGCATTTGTTTCCTGCTCTAATCTGCCTTTAGTGGTAGGTATTAACTTCATGAAAATGTAATGGTATTGATTTAGTGGGAGGCACTCTGAACTTGGAGATGGAAACATGAGTTTAAATCTTAACTTTGCTTCTTTCTAACATATAACTTTGAATAAGACTGAACTCCAGGCTCCTCTGTTTCTAAATCAGTCTAAGGCAGCTGTTCTCAACCTGTGGGTTGCGACCCCTTTGGCGGTTGAACGACCCTTTCACAGGGGTCGCCCAAGACCATCCTGCATATCAGATATTTACGTTACGATTCATAACAGTAGCAAAATTACAGTTATGAAGTAGCAACGAAAATAATTTTATGGTTGGGGGTCACAACATGAGAAACTGTATTTAAAGGGCCAGAAGGTTGAGAACCACTGGAAGGGATTGAATGAAACAATGTGTGTGAACATACCAAGCACATTGCTTGCTTAGAGTTTTTCACTTTGTGGGGGGAGGTATATTCATCCAGTAATATCATGGATGTAATTGTTGCATATTTTTTGCTTTTAGGCAAAAACTTGTGTAGATGTCCATAAATATCTCCTACAGATAATGTTAAAAAAAAAACACAGACAACTAAAACTACAATGCCTGTAGAATAGAATAGTGATAATTACCATACATTTTGCTGGTAATATTAAAATCATGTGTAAACTCCTGAAGTGGATCAGTTGCAATTTTGGCAACTTTGCAATTTTACCCGTCATTCTAAACCTGGAGTGTTATGCAATTGAGAGCTATTTTTGTACAGAGTAAATAATAAATTTTTTGATAAAACATTGCATTTTGGTAAAAACAGATTATGAGAGCACAGTGCATAGAGAGTGACATCATAATGATGCTGAGAATAAAAAGCCCGGTGGGAAAGCTTGGTTGCCATGTGCCTCTAGGCACACAGGAACTAGACTCAGCTGTTATGAGTTCAAAAGAAAAGTTTGCTCAGGTGGAAACTTGTTATTTCAATTTGTGGCACCTCTGAATAACCTAAGGAGGGCATAGTATATAAACAAGGGAAAATGGACTTTTTCCCCCCAGACATTTCCTAGATCTTCCCTATCCTGTAGTTGTGTGTTTCTATTAGGCCCCATATCCTCTGGCTAGATTTCATAGTTTCTCCTTATTACTCGACCCCCTATATCCATTTGGGGCTCCTTTTGTGTACAGAAATGTATGTGACAGCAGATGCTCTCCTGACCCAGGATCTTTGGCTCTCACCTCACTAGATGCTATCATTTGTTTATCCATTTTTGGCCTTCAGTGTAGCTAAGTAAGCTGGCCGAATCTCTTTAGGACAAAATTCATGGGGTGAACATAACCTAATGAGCCCATTGCTGGTAAAATCTTTTTTTTTTCTGGGCTGAAGGTGTTAAATGTGACAGATGGGAAATGCAGTCTGTGGTGGGAAAGGCAAGGTGCCCATAGGCCTGATTGTCCCTGTCAGCTGTTTTGTGTGTGGGATGAACCCCACCAATTCATAGCACTTGAGTTCAAACTTCCTTTTGTTAACTTGTGGAATATATTGGTGATGTAAGCAAGGATCCTAAATCATCTGCCTGGTGCACTGAAGAAAACAGTCATCCAGTGTTCTGCCACCTTAAACTACAGCATGTGGTTTTTGCTTATTGCCCGTCTGTCTTTGTTCACATCATGCTTTTTATGTTGTTGCAGTCATTTTATATGTGTATGTATGTATTGTTCTATACCTTTAATATAGGGACTTGAGCATCTGCAGGATTGGTATCTGTGCCTGGAAGAGATGGTGTTCCTGGAACCAGTCGCCCTTGGATACTGAGGGGACGACTGTATCCCTTTTTTCCATTTGTGTCATAAACATTTCCCATGTATATTTGTAGGACTCATAAATTATAGCATATTAGCTACCTAATTTGATATATCACAGTTTTTTCCTGTTATAACTCACTAAGGTTATATGTAGTTTTTTGGTGGTTTGTTTATTTTTATTTGTTTCTTGTTATGGGAAGCATCAAAATAAACATCGTTTTGTAATGTTATTTTCCAAAGAGAAATTTCCAGGAGCTAGATGTCAGGGTGTGGACATTGTAATGGCTCTTGCTTTGTAATGTCGTATTTTGTTTTCCAGAGGCTCAGTGCCTTTCTACACGGCTGCCAGTGTGTTTACAACCCCTTTTAAAAGCAAGGCTTTTAAACGTTTTATATGCCTTGCTTTTAGATGCGTCTTTTCTTATTGTAAAGAATGGACCAAGCAGCTCCATCTAGTAGTAGCTAACTTTTTCTAGTAAAAACTAGCAGGAAACATCTATTGCAGTGATTCTCAACCTTGGCTGCACATTAGAATCGCCTGGGAATCTTGTTAAAATCCTGATTTCTGGGCCTCATCATTAGTAACAAAGAAACAGAATTTTTGGAGGATGAGGCCCAGAAATCAGGATTTTAACAAGATTCCCAGGCGATTCTAATGTGCAGCCAAGGTTGAGAACCACTGATCTATTGTGTTGGACTGCTCACTGCACAAAGCCCTGGCTTGGCTACATATCTGATATATCTTAAGTCTGGCTCAGAGCTACCAAGTGCATTTTTGGTGAATTGTCTTTACTCCTCACATCAGATGTGAATGCTCAGGTTGAAGTTTTCATTATAGGTTTTTTGCTGGTAGAATATTGTAGAAGTACAAAGGAGCTTGCTGTATATTTTTAGTCACTGGTTAAAAAAAAAATGTCCTGGTTTGTTTAGAATGACTGTATTTCTCTATATGGTTCCTTTGCTCCTTTGAAAAAATAAAAACATCAAAAGAAAGTCCCGTGTAGACAAAAGCATCTACTTGAACCTTCTGTCAGGACTGTTTACTTAACCATTGTAAGTTTCCATGGTTCATATGATCTTAAGTTATCTTGTGAGTTTATCTTGTGAAATGAACCCTCTCTGTTCCCTCCTCTGGGCTAACCATTTGTGTCTTGTTTTTCACAGTGAACATAAAGATTCTGAAAAGAAACACAAAGAGAAGGAAAAAACCAAGCACAAAGATGGAAGTTCAGAAAAACATAAAGACAAACATAAAGACAGAGACAAGGAAAAACGAAAGGAGGAAAAGGTACCCAACTTTCCAGTGAGAGAGGAAGAGATGGGATGTACTTTTCATTTTGTTTACCTTTTAAACAGATAATGAAAGTACCTTCATTGCATAGAAAGATCCCATGGCCTTTGAGTGAAAAGGTCTCAGTCAGGAGACTTTAGAGTCGACCATCGTCTTAAACTATGAAAACAAGGTCTGTTGCCACTGTATAGCATATCTATTCAGGTCATTATTTTATATGGCAAGTGGATAAATTGAAGATGTAGTGTTCTGGAGATGTCAGTTTTCCTTCATGGGGAAAATTAATTCTGTTTTGGGGGAAGGGCTTAATGCTACCTTGGTCCTCTGTTGAATGAAAGTTCTTGAGTGAAAATGTGGTGATACTGGTGCCTTTGCTGACTTTTGGTTCTAGCAGAACCAGTGTAGCCGTCTTGAAACAGCTGGCCTCCTCTGGCTGCAGATGAGTAGTGCTATGCATAGACTTTTTAAAAATTGTTTTAATTTTAGGTATTAAAAAAGTAACATTTATATTTGGTAAATTCAGACAAGTGAAATAGCGAATATAGTGAAAAATACATTTCCCTTCTATCCATGGCTCACTAGCCTCCATCTTTCCCTTTCTGGAGGCAGCCACAACACCAACTATTCTTTTGTATTTTTCCAGAGATGTGTGTGTGTGTGTGTGTGTGTGTGTGTGTGAGAGAGAGAGAAGATTTTTGAAATACCCCTCTGACAAGTCTAGAAAATGGGAATTTGAAGAAGGGGAATGTGAATACACTTTTCCAAACCAGAGAAAGCAGGAAATAGACTATTTTTTAAAAAATATATTTTTATTTATTTCAGAGAGGAAGGGAGAGGAAAAGAGAGATAGAAACATCAATGATGAGAAAGAATCATTGATCGGCTGCCTCCCACATACCCCCTACTGGAGTTGGAACCCGCAACCTGGGCATGTGCCCTGACCAGGAATCAAACCATGGCCTCCTGGTTCATAGGTCAATGTTCAACCACTGAGCCACACAGGCCAGCCTCATTTTGTTTTGTTTTTTATTTCCTCTCTGCACTGCGAAGGGCAAATCCTTGAGAGGTGGAGTATATTTACTGAGGGAGGGGGCCCTGCCATAATCTAAAGGTAAAAAGCTGTTATTTTGCACGGAAACTTTTCTCAGTGTATTGGACAGTTTATCCTGAAGAATTGTATAAAATGAGTCTTAGAAAAATATGAAGACCTTCAGTTCACCTGGTCAGCAAGAAGAAGTCCGTCTGTGATCAGGGTGCCCCAAGGATTGAAGTCAAATGTTCTCTAATAAAGAGAGAGGCTTCTTTATTAGAGTCAAATGTAGCTTTCAAGGTACTAATCAGTTACTGTTGTTTGACCTTTCAGGTTAGAGCCTCTGGGGATGCAAAAGTAAAGAAGGAGAAGGAAAATGGCTTCTCGAGGTAAGAGTCCTCTGCTTCCTGTGGGTGCCCTGCAGGCCAGCTGCCCATGTGTCTGCTGCCGAAGTGTGCCTGTACCTAACACACACTGACCTGGCCACCTCCAGGTTTCCCAGGAAGTTGGCAGTGAAAGGACTTGGCCGAAGTCCTCTGAGCATTTCCAGAGTGCCCTTTAGTGAGTCTGACCAGGATATTTTCCAGAAGTTATTTTGAGTGGAGAAGGTTGACAGGAAGAAATTTTTTAAAATTGCGATATAATTTACATACCATAAAACTCACCCTTTTAAAGTGTATAGTTTATTGGGTTTTAGTATATTCACAGAGTTGTGCATCTTTCCCACTATTGCACTATCTGATTTCTGAACCTTTTCAACAGCCCAAAAGAAACGCCATACTTAGTCAGTAGTAATTAATAATATTCTGAGGCTCATATATAGATGCCTTCTTGACCTACATTTTAGGAATGGGTGTAGACTTGAGTAGATACAGGTTGTGGCAAAAGTAGATGTACAGTTGTGAGTACTGGAAATACAATCTGCACAGTCTAGAGGTCACTTTTCCTGTGCTATTTTTGTTGTTATGATTCTGTTTTCCTTATCAACCTCAACTTTTTAAAATAAGTCTAAGAATTCCCTCTAGCTTCAAAAAACTACAAATTTGCCGTAACCGGTTTGGCTTAGTGGATAGAGCCTGCAGACCCAAAGGTCCCAGGTTCGATTCCGGTCAAGGGCATGTACCTGGGTTGCGGGCACATCCCCAGTAGGAGGTGTGCAGGAGGCGGCTGATCGATGTTTCTCTCTCATCGATGTTTCTAACTCTCTATCTCTCTCCCTTCCTCTCTGTAAAAAATCAATAAAATATATATTTTAAAAAAAAACACCCAAAAAAACCCTACAAATTTATGGTCATATATTCTCATTCGCCTCCACAAAACATCAGAATGGATTTACTAGGAGTTGTTGGAAGTAAACATTATTGACTTGGACAAAGTGTTTTGAGAGTTTTGCTTCTTTGAAACTTCGAATTTCCAATTCCTTTGAGAACATTTTTGAAAACTGTGGCATGTCCTCGAGGTCCTTTAGACTAGGAGCAGCAGGAGCCCTCTTCAGGCATGTTTTATAACTGTTCTAGGAATGCTGAATAATACAATTCACTATAAGCTACCCTAGGCATTCTGATTTCTTAGATAAAGTGACTGAGCACAGGGAGGCTATTTTCTGCCAAGAAACTGACTGAGTGGATTTTTATTAAACTAATACGTACTAAGAAAAAATGGACTCTTTGGACTTGGAGTAGTTTTATTAAACTAATACGTACTAAGAAAATAATGGATTCTTTGAAACTTGGGCTCAGTTTCAGACTTTCTGGGTTAGAAGGTTAGGAACACACCTTTTCAGGCAGTGGGCTCTGCATTCGCTTTGCTGGACTGCTTATTTGCTTGCATTTGTATCTGCAGAGAATCACTGGATGGAACCCAGTTTTCTGAGACATTATTTTTAACTTCACCTGTGATGATAATAGGATCTAGCATTTACTGGCTGGGTAAATGGCAGTGTTTCTTTCTTTCTGGCACAAAGCTTGTGGAGATTTTGGACTCTTGGATCTATGTTAGTCACTTTTGTAGTTGGGGGGAACAGCTTTAAAGGCTGGCATTTGGGGAGTGTGCAGAAATAAGGAAGGAAAGCTAATTGCTTTAAACATTCAAATTCTTCTGCAAACAAGGCGATCCAGTATGCTTAAGGGGATGAGGTAATGTGGAGGTGGCATTATCTACTCTTAAAACCTTGTGAATATCCTGACTTTTCTTTGCAGCTGAGTCTGTGTAAGCTTATCCCCTGGGTGTCTTAGAGATGAAGCTTCATGTCCAGAGACCATTCCCTGTACCAAGTTAGTTAGCTCTGTAAGTGCTTCTGGCTGTAAGCAGTGAGGTTCTGATCAGATGTGTTAAGCCAGGGAACATCCCAAGGCTGTGGTGATTGTTGGTTTCATGGCTTTCTCTCTTCTTCCTTCTGCTTTTTGGTCCAACATAGTTGTCTTAACAGAATTATCTTTTTATATTCAAAAGACAAAATCTTAATAAAGATAAGGCAAGGCACTCTTCTTTATGTCAAGTAAATAAAACTAAGGAGGACATTGAAAAATGTCTAAACTTGGCTTAGAATGAATTGAATTTGTCCTGGGCCTCTCATTTAGCATGTGCCCTTCTTTTGGTGTGATGTCATCTTGATTGTTTTCCCATGTAACTAAGGTTATTTTCCTTAGACCTTTAAGGTACCAAGTTTGGGAAATAAAATTTTATTCCTTTCCTTGTAAAAACTATATATTAGGTTTTGGAGCACTAGAATGATCAGTTCGAATCATTCCTGGAGTCAGATACATAGTCTATCCTTCATGTGAAGTGAGGAAACAATTCAGTTTAAGTTTGTTCCTGTTATGGTTTGGGTCATGCTGGCAAAGGCAGCTAAGATGTAGGGGAGATGAAGACTGACTTAGAGTAAGGAGTCCTGATCCCAGATCTTGATGTGCCTGTTCATCTGTAAAGTGAGGACAATACTATCTACTTCACAGGGTTGGAGTAAGAATTAAGTGAGAAAAGTGCTCATGGAAAACCTTTATAATAGATACAAGTGTATGTTGTTGTTCTTATATTAGCTGCTTGTCAGTGCAGTAATTTATCCCTGCTTTGGATTACTTGATGTGTAGATGTTCCAACACTCATTAACAATTTTTTTCTCTCTAGTCCACCACGAATTAAAGATGAACCTGAAGATGATGGCTATTTTGCTCCTCCTAAAGAAGATATTAAGCCGTTGAAGAGACCTAGAGATGAGGATGAGTGAGTATATCTCATTACTTTGTTTTTGTTTTTTTAAACAAAAAGGGAGTTGTTTAAAGGATAAATGTGATGTATGTCTCTGCAGTACACAGAGAAACTGCATTAATTGACTTTTACTCATTTGGAATTTGTGATTAATGGACTGACTGGGTGACTGATTTCTGTTTGAATTATGAGAAGTAGGGTTTGCTGAGCAAATAAGTAGTGTACCTGAGGCTTAAATGGAGAATATATGTTTCTATTTTTCTTATTAAAAAGGCAGTGCATATTGTAGGAATGTCAAATAAAACAGAATTCATGAAGAATATTTAAATTATTTAAATTAATTTAGGTTTATCATCACTTATCACAGATAAGTTTTCACTGGTAAACCAATTCCTCCTGGGATCTGTTCCTGTCAATACATTCTAAGTGAAGTTTCCGTGTGTAGGATTTTGCTCTGAATTAAGACAGGTATTTGAGACTTACAGGTACCTCTTTCTCAGATTCAATCAGTGATGTTAAATTCTATTCATTATTTTCGATCTTGTATAGCTTATTATGTTCCAGGAATCTACAAAGGATTTATGGTAGAAAGTTGTAGGTGGGAAGAGAAGAAGGAAATATTTAGTAAACTCATTTGTGTTCATTCAGAATTCATACAGAATTTCTTTTCTGTCCTTTTGAGCCAGTCATTACTTTGTGGCAATCATTGTTGCACTGTAGGTTCCCAGATTTCCATCTTCTAGTGGTGTCATTTATGCATATGTCCCTCCATTCCACTTCCCTCCCAGGCCTGCATGTAGTATATGGTTGTTTGTTTTGTTCTATCTAGGGCTATAATGATTGGGCCTTGGTCTGGCCTTCTTTCTCTGTCCCATTCTTGACAAGAATGCTCAGCCTAGAATAATAGCAAACACTCCTACCTTGGAAGCCTCCAGGAGGAGTTAAGAGGTCCTAATCCTATTGGTAAGAACTATTGAGTCACAGTTGTGTTAATTGCATATTCATGTTCCCCTTTCTAGTGCTGATTTTAAACCTAAGAAAATTAAAACAGAAGATATCAAGAAAGAGAAGAAACGAAAACTAGAGGAAGAAGAGGTTAGTAAAGAGACTTAGGCCCTTTGGGGCTTGAGTTTGGAATAGGGAGTTTTACATAAAACTTTTGAAGGCAAATGGGTTTTAGGGATTTAATTGGTCTGTAGAGGAAAAACTCTTACATGTGTACAGTGACTGTGCACTGTTGGTGTGAAGATCTCGCCTAGCCTTCCTGGGTGTCTGTCCATAGCTATGGTGCCAACTGACCCTTTTAGGGAAACTACCCTCATCATACATACGGAGGGAGGTGTAAACAAGAAATCATATTTGCTTACAACCCAGAATAGTTTTCCCTAAGAATGTTTCTTAGTGCTCTCCTATATATAACAAGGCTTGCTCATCTCTCACTTTGGGTAACCATTCCTATTTAGCGACCTTTAATTGGTGCTGCTTGGATGTAGGATGAAATCCAGGCTCTTTACCACAGCTCCACCCAGTCTGGCTCTTGCATCTTGTGCCTCTGTTCATCTTGTTCCTCTTCCCTCATTTGCTTTGTTCCAGCCACACTGATCTCCTGTGTTTCTTTTCCACACAGTTCTTTTGTGCTTTGGAGCTTTCTGTAGCATCTACTGTTCCCTGTGTCAGGAACACCAATGCTCATCCTCCCTTCTTCTCCTGACTTATAAACCTCCCCTAAAAATCTCAGTTCAAGTACTTTTCTAAGGGTTCTATTCATGTTTGTGGTAGATTAAACATATGATGTTATGGTTCCTTCTTTTGACACTTTGTATTTCTTATACTAAAAAGTGGTTAGCAAGTAATTCAAGTAAAACCTGCCAGCATTTCACAGGGCTCTTAATCCTCCACTCTCCTATAAGAAGGAGGTGAGTGGTTTTTCACTTTTATGCTGCATTTGAGGTTAGCCATTGTCTTAGGCAGAATGGATTCACAAATGTAAAGACAATAGTTTTAAGCATCACCAGTAAAGATAGTGATAGTGAGGGTCAATGACTCTTCAGAGTGTAATCTATCATAGCAATAAGAATAAAAGTAATAATTAAAGTTAAATGCAATAGGTGTTTACTATGTGTCAGACACTGTTCTTTAGATATTTTATTTAATCCTAAGAAAAACCCTTAGAGACAAATATTGCTACTATTAGCTCCATTTTACAGATGCAGAAACTGAAGTATAGAGAGGTCAAATCATTTGCCTAAGTTCACCCAACTACTAAGTGGTAAAGCCGGATTTGATCCCATGCTGTATGATTCCAGAGCCAGCACAATAGCTACCATATTATCCGGCCTCTTGGGGGACTTTTTTTCCCCACAAGAAAGGAGAAGAAGCGTCTTTAATGAAATCATATTAAGAATATTAATGAGTAAGTGAGCCATAGAGAGATGATTGGGTCCTGGATTTTTAGGGTATTGTAGTTTTTCTGACAATCTGTTCTTGGCAGAAGTTGAAGTTTAGAGCCAACTCAAGGAATTGAGAGCGAGGTGTTGAATAGTGATTATGGTAGTCACTCTACTTTTGTGTAGATCAGGTGGGGAACGTTTTTTCTGTCAAGGGCCATTTGGATATTTATAACATCAGTTGAGGGCCACACAAAATTATCAAGTTAAAAAATTAGCCTGCTATATTTGGTCATTTAATTAACTCACCCCTAATACCTTTTCAGTGCCAGACCAAATGATTTCACGGGCCTTATACAGTGCAGGCCAGACATTTCCCACCCCTGGTGTAGATCATTAGACTAGTCAATAAAGAGTTGTAAAACTTAGCTCTCCGTGCTTTCTGTATTGCCTTAATGCTGATATTGCATTTATGCACAATAGTACCTTTCTTGGAGCTTGGAAGAGGTTAGTCATAACTGTTAGGCCATTTGGAAAAAAGAACAATTGACTCCTCTCCCCTTCTTTTTTAAAATTGTTTTTTAGCAACCCCTCTCTCTACACGGGGAGAAAACAATTTCAGGCTGAAAGACTGAAGTAATACAGTCTTATTGTGGCAAGGACCCCAAATGGCAAGACCGGTCATGAAACCACTTGCTGGCTATGTTTTTTTCATTTCTGGGAATTGGTCCGAAGTCTCTGATTATCCCATTGTAAGGCTTGAAGCGCATACAGTAGACAGTAGTTCACTGATGGGACCTGCCTGTTCAGATGTGCATGCCTGTTCAGAAACTATTCAGAGAATGTCTTCACTGAAAAACATTTCCCTTTCCTGTGGTGTGTTTCAGCCTAAATAGTAAACATTCTCTGAATTATGTGATCCTCCAGTACTTTCTACTCACAAACATACTTATACATTCCTATTTTCAAATATATATGGTGTGTAGTCTTTCTTTTCTTCTACCCCAAAGGTCATTTGCTTAGCGATGCTGAGTTTGTCTTGATTTCCATCTTATCACATAGTCCCGGAATAGTATCTATTCCAGTCATTCCCATGAGTCACATTCTTTTATTTTTCTGGTCAACTTGGGCTTTCATCATGGTCAATATTAGTAATATAACGTTGAGGAAGTAACAAAACCTCTGTTTCAGACTTTCCTTAATAATAACTGGAAGAGGTCAAACCAAACTGTCTATAGAGCTCTTTCACGCTCTCCCATTCTGTAATTGCTTTTAAGATAGTGCAAAACCACCTTTCAGAGCTACATATAAAATGTGTTGACTTAAATTATCTTGAATAGTAGAACAAAGGAACATTTTTCTTCAGAAGAGTTTCAATTCTCTTGAGTGGTAGCCCCATCTTGAACAGCACATATTTGCCTGATGTGTGTATGTTTTGATATTGATCTCCTCCTGTATTGGTGAATTGCCCTTGTTTATGTTTGATGATCTTTTTCTGTGATACTGTGATAGTCATGTAGGGTCAGAGCCATAAAGAAATGCCACCATAAGAAGCAGTAATCATTTTAGGACCTTCCAAATACTTGCTTACTGTTTTGTGACTGTGTGTATGCAAACAGTAGTAATAGAAATTTCCCCACTAGACTCAATCAGGAATTTCCTTTCCAGTTGTATATTAAGCACCTAATAGCTTCATGTACTCATTATTTGGTGGTGTTAGAAGAGGTTTAAAGATGAGTCGATTAAAACTAAGTGAGGATAAACACTGGGATTACTCTCTACAGAAGCAGTACTTTCCCAGTCTTTCCTGAAGTTAAAAAATACACTTTCCTAGGCTCTTCCTCCACAGAATGAATGTTTTTAACTGCTTTCTTGAGCAATTATATGTCGGAGATTTGGGCATTACTGCTCTAGAGAAAAGTACTAGTAAATTTTTATTGGGGGGATTGGACCTAAGAAAGTCTCTAGTTCTAATGTTCTATGATTCCAGTTTTCTTCCTAATGGTCCCCCAAAACTACTTCTAGAAAAGCAGCTAGTCCTTTCCTTTTTTAAGTGCTTTGTCACCATGTTTCTTTGTAGGATGGTAAATTGAAAAAGCCCAAGAGTAAAGATAAAGATAAAAAAGTTCCTGAGCCAGATAGCAAGAAAAAGAAGCCGAAGAAAGAAGAGGAGCAGAAGTGGAAATGGTAAGATCTCAGCACGGGGTTAAAATGTCAACTCTTTGATTCCACAGCCTAATTAAGCAATAGTGTTGAGTTATTAAAATTAATACCTTGATATCTGAGGGAAGAGGGAAGTACTTAAAAGAATCTCTCTAGAATAATATTCTGAAATAAGTTTCCCAGGTCCTAGTGAAAGCATTAACTAGCTCTTAACCTATTGAATCTCAAAACAAGGTCCCAGTCTATTGAACAGAATGAACTATAGAAGTAGACTTATGCATATATGGGAACTTAGCATATAAAGAATACTGCATTTAAAATGATAGGGATTATTTTAAATAAGATGCATTATTACATAAATAGTGCCGGGGAAACCGCCTGTTTAAAAAAAAATAATCTCCCCAAGAAAACCTGGGTGAATATTTTTATAATTATAGAATAGTGAAGTCCCTTTAAAGCATGTCATAATCAGAGCCATAAGGAAAAGCTTTATAAATTTGATACATCAAAGTTAAATCTACCCTGGCTGGGTGGCTCAGTTGGTACACCAAAAGGTTGCAGGTCCGATTCCTGGTCAGGGCACATGCCCAGGTGTGGGCTCGATCCTCAGTAGCGTGCAGCTGGTCAATGATTCTCGCTCATTGTTGATGTTTCTAACTCTCCCTCTCTTTTCCTCTCTCTGAAGTCAATAAAAACATATTTAAAAAAAAAATAAATGATTAGTAAATGTCTTAAAATATGGTCAACCATATAAGTAACAAAGGCACAAAGAGAAATAATCAGTGATACATCTTTTTGTTTAATGTCTCAGACTGGGAAAGATTAGTAAGTATCAAAATATCTAGGGTTGAGAGTATGAGAAAACAGGCATTCCCCTTCACTATGGATGAAGAACCACGCAGTCTTATGGAGGACAATTTAGCAATAACAGGTTACTTTTGAAAAGTGTATTTAAATGGGAAATTTCATTTTCTACTTAATAAGTTTGGGTATTTAAAATTTTGAAATAAACATGTATTTTTAATACTGATTTTACTTAAAACTTGGTTTTGGGTGTATTGTTTTGTTTTCCAATTAATCTTTACCCGAGGATATTTTTCCCATTGCTCTTCAGAGAGAGTGGAAGGGAGGGAGAAAGCAAAGGGGAGAGGTAGAGAAAAAGAAACATTGATGTGAGAGAGACACATTGATTGATTGCCTTCTGAGTATGCCCCAACGGGGATGGGGATCAAACCTGCAACCCAGGTATGTGCCCTTGACCGGGAATCAAACCGGTGACGACCCTTTAGTGCAATGGTTCTCAACCTTCTGGCCCTTTAAAACAGTTCCTCATGTTGTGACCCCCAACCATAAAATTATTTTCGTTGCTACTTCATAACTGTAATTTTGCTACTGTTATGAATCGTAATGTAAATATCTGATATGCAGGATGGCCTCAGGCGACTCCTGTGAAAGAGTCGTTCGACCGCCAAAGGGGTCTCGACCCACAGGTTGAGAACCTCTGCTTTAGTGCGTAGGCCAACGCTCTCACCATTGAGCCACATTGGCCAGGGCAAAACTTTGTATATTTAACTTCTACATCAGTAATATATGATTTGTATTTATGTTGAAAAATTCAAATGATCCAGAGGCATAGGAGTCAGAAAAAGACAGTTCTCTTTCCCTCTCTCCTGTTTCCATTTGTCCTTTCCAGCTTTGGGACAACCACTGTTTGTAGTTTGGTGTGTAGAGTTCCAGACCCATTTATATGCATTTACTCTATGGCTTTTATGACTTAGAAAAATAATCTCCTCTGAACCTGAGAGATGGGGAAGTATCAGTGATTAGGTGGTGGCGGAGAGGAGCAGAGCTGCAGTAGCAGAACTGCTGCTATGTAATTGTGGGTGTGAAAACATGGGGGTAAAAGGAAAATGTAGGAAAAAATTAGAGTCAAGAAATCCTGGGCCTGTGCAGAGGTCAGAGTCAGAAAGCAAAATATGTATTTTTGTTCTTCTCATTTTTTTCTTTGGAGCTAATTGAAAATTTTCAGTGATAGAATATTGAAAAGGTGTTATGACCTTCAATAAAATGATTTTTTTTAGATAAAATAAAGTGATTTTGTAAATCAGGGGTTATTATTGGGAATTGTGAAGAAGGGTTAGTGATTCTTCAGTCTGTTGTCTCTCCAGGTTCTGTGATGGGAGCTCGTATTTGTTGAATGAACAAGTTCCTTGTCATAACTAGCTCCTTGCTGTCTTCACCCTTACTTGGCCCTAATGTTCTTATTGGGCCCTAATGTATTCTTTTCCTGGCTCAGCCTTTGTGTGTGTGTGTGTGTGTGTGTGTGTGTGTGTGTGTGTGTGTGTGTACCCTGGAAAAGTCTAATAGCCTAATTTTGCTTCCATGGTTGAAATCCTTATTGGTGTTGCCACACATTAATTCTGAGAGACTAGCTTCTGTGTTTGTTTGTTTGTTTGTTGTTCAAGTGTGGGACTGGTTAGTCTTGAACTGAAGATGGTTGGTTTGGAGGAAAGCAATGTTTGCTATAGTCTCCTTGCATGCTTTTCTCAAGTCTGATTGTTAAGTCCTGCCCATTCTTAAGCACAATGCTTTGTGGTGGTGCAGTGTAAGTTTTAGAAGTAGAGAACAGGAATGATTAGTTTCTTACCTGAGAGGTTGCCTTTTCCTTCTGTAACTATTGGCTCCTATTACACCCTGAAGTAAGTGGTTCAGACCTCTCACAGCGTAGTCAGGGAACTTTGATGACAGATACTCTCACTTGTACTATCCTCTTGATATTCCACTAAAAGAATTACACACTTTACCAGCTTGGCTTGTGTGCAGATCTTTTGTTTCCACCCAGAGCCTACAGACTTGTTCATCTTGCTGAAAACAAACTTTGATCCCTATTTCCCTCTCTTTGGTAATTGTGGGGATGGGGAAATGGTCAGGATCCCTCTAGGTTTCTTCACTGTATTGCATTTCCCCCATAGAAAAAATGTTACAAGTGGGGGCAATATGCTCAGGCTTAGTTCCATGAGGATCTCTTTAACCCAGATCCCCCTATTTTAACTGGTACCCATTGTAGCTGTATAGGATTTCAGCTTGTCCTCAGTTAAGTACACTTTTGTGTCAGGGCTGACCTGTTGAAACATCGGTCCCATGTTTATACTACAAAGAAGACTTCACCAGAAGACCTGAGACTGGAGTTTGTTGCTGGTGTTAGGTATGACTTTAAATGGAGTTTTGAGGGGTTTTTTTAGCAAAGAAACTCAAAAGATTATAATGTAGGGAATTTGTGTTGAAAGACTGGGACTCATGAATACAATCAGTATTAATGATAAGAAATTTATGAAATATGGATTGACATTCTCCTCAAACCATAGAAACTGTCCTTGATTCCATAGATTAGCTTCCAGAAAGCTGTAGCATGTGACCTTTATTTCTGAGATTTAAAAGTTAAATGTTCATTTTACAGTGTACTATGAGGTGTTCGTTAACTATAAGGGAATATGATTTCAGAGAATATGTGGATGTTTACTTTCCTATCTTACATTTCTAGCACTTTTCCATTTTGTTTACTCAAGCACATTTTATTGTCACATATATACCTAACGAGTTAGTAAGTTAAGTCTGCCATAGAGAAGTCATTTCGATGTCTACATGTTTTCCTCTTTATTTTTTAAAAATATTTTTTTATTTATTTCAGAGAGGAAGGGAGAGAGATAGAAACATCATTGATGAGAGAGAATCATCGATTGGCTGCCTCCTACATGCCTCACACTGGGGATTGAGCAGGCAATTCAGGCATGTGCCCTGACTGGAACTCGAACTGTGACCTCCTGGTTCATAGGTTGATACTCAGCCACTGAGCCACGCTGGCCGGGCCTACATGTCTTTCTTAATTCTGATGATGAACCACTGATTGGGGAATAAAGGGCATCAGTAGTGTCAGAGACATTTTGGACAGGGTGAGTTGCTGATCTAATAATATCAGCCTTTGGGAGTATACGTTCTATCTGGAGAGTAATAGACTTGGCGGTTTGGACGGGTTCGGCTTCTATGCCAACGAAGAGTTGGGAGATCCTGCCAGTTTCACATCTATAAAAGTGGTAGGTTGGTCATAGAGGATCTTTAATGTTCCTTCTAGGTCTAACATTTAATACATCTTGACCTTGACTTTTATTTTTTTAATTATCTTTAATTGTAGTAAAATAACATAAAATGTATCATCTTAACTATTTTTTAAGTGTTCAGTTGAGTGGTTGTACATTCCCATTGTTGTACAACCGTCACCACCACCATCCATCTCCAGAACTCTCTTCATCTCACAAAACTGAAACTGTTAAACAATAACTCTCCCTCATGTGACCCTTTCCCCCTAGCTGTTGGTAACCACTGTTCTACTTTCTGTCTTTCTGAGTTGGTTAGTCTAGGGTACCTCATATAAGTGGAACTATACTGTTTCTGTCCTTTTGCGACAAGCTTATTTCACTTAGCTTGTCTTTGAAGTTCATCCATGTTGTACATGTGTCAGAATTTCTTTCCTTTATAAGGCTGAATAATAATTAATTTTATGTATATACTACACTTTGTTCATCCATTCATCTACTGATGGATACTTAGCTTGTTTCTACTTCTTGGCAGTTCAGTGCTGCTATGAATGTTCGTGTACAAGTATTTGCTTGAATACCTGCTTTCAAGTATTTTGGGTATATTCCTAGGAGTGAAATTGCTGGATCATGTGGTAATTTTTTTTAACTTTTGAGGACCTGCCATGCTGTTTTCCACAGTAGCTCTACGTGTTCACATTCCTACCAGGGCACAAGAGTTTCAATATCTCCACATCCTCGTGCACACTTACTATTTGTAGTTGTTTTTTTAAAAAAATAAAATAAATAAATAAAGCCATCCTAATGGATGTAAGCGGTGTCTCATGGCTCTGACTTATATTTTCCTAATTATAGGTAATGTTGAATATTTTTTCAGATGCTCATTGAGCACTTGTGTATCTTTGGAGAAATGTCTATTCATGTCCTTTGCCTGTTTTTTAATTGGGTTGTTTATTTTGTTGTTGTTGAGTTTGTGGTTCTTTATATATTCTGGATATTATCTCCTTATCAAAATTTTTGCTCTGCAAGTTATTTGTCAATGCATGGGTTGGTTTTTCCCTCTGTTGGTTGTGTCCTAAATTTTGTAGTCCAGTTTACCTAATTTTTCTCTTGTCTGTATTTTTGTGTCATATCTAAGAAATCATTGCTATATCCAATGTTATGAAGCTTTTGCTTTATGTTTTCTTATAGCGTTTTATAATTTTAGGTCTTACATTGGGTCTTTGATACAATTTGAGTTTATTTTTGTATATAGTATAAGACAAGAGACCAACTTCATTCTTTTGGTGTGAATATCCAGTTTTCCCAAAACCATTTGCTGAAAACACTGTCCTTTCTCCATTGAATGGTCTTGGTACCCTTATCACAAATCATATGACCATATATGTTGACTTTGGTTATATAGTATACTACTATTACAGCACGGTTTGATACATGTAATTTTTATTTGATATTTCTAATCTTCATTTAAAATATTGGAGTTGGAAGATAATAGGAAGTAATAGAATGTGAATAATTGGCCTTTGGAATGATTCTATAGAACTGTAGGGCTTTTTACTTAAGGTAGAAATAGTGAAGATTAAAATATGAAGTTTTAAAATATTCTCTCTGTAAGACAACTGAGTGACTCTTAAAGTGATAGTGTGAGGTCTGTCTAATTCTCGAGAAGGAAAGACTTGGAGACATAAACAACCAATTGCAGTACCTGGCCCTTAATTAGATTCAAGTTTATAAAATATATTTTAGATTTAATTGGGAAATTTATAATATGATCCAGATAGTAGTATAATATTAACAATTATACATAGGTGATGGTATATGGTGTTCTATATATTCTGTTTTCTCCCCATGTTTGATCATTTTTAAAATAAGGTTTTTAAAAGCTGTTTCCACTAAGTTTTACATTTCAGTTATCATTGTCTGCGAGATAGCTCTAGATCAGCGGTCACCAACCGGTAGTCCACGGACCACTGGTGGTCCGTGAGGTCTGAAAGGTTGGCGACAGCTGCTCTAGATAATCCAATGCCAATCCAGTATAACCCAACTGAACTATTATTTCCCAGTCTTCTATTCCATTATGTATTTTCTCTTATGGTTGTTTTCCCCTAAACCTCCAACTGGCATCTCCACTCCCAGGAGGCCTTTTCCTATGTACCAACAGCATAAATGTTATATATTTCATTGTTACTTACTTTCATACCATAGTGATAAAACAACAAAGAACAACAGTTTTATTTCCATTTCCCCATTTGTTGCCAAGCTTCTTTATTGATGACCTCTTGTATCTAATATCTTTAAACTGAACTGTTGAAATATATTTTCCTCTATTTCATCTTATTTGTTGTATTGGGTTTTTCAAAGTGAAAGACACTGGTTATTTTAATCTAGGCCTTGAATATAGGGCTCCGAGTCATTCTAAAGCACCAGTCAATTGAGCAGATAATACTTTTGTTTTTTAATAGGTGATAATCTCTATAATAGATAAAGTGGCCACTAAATGAGGTTGTACCTTGTCTTCTAAAGGTGGGAAGAAGAGCGTTATCCTGAGGGCATCAAGTGGAAATTCCTAGAACATAAAGGTCCTGTATTTGCTCCACCATATGAGCCTCTTCCAGAGAGTGTCAAGTTTTACTATGATGGTGAGTTGTTCAAGGTTATCCAATTCTTGGACAAGAAAAGAGACTGATTCTATTTAGGAATAGAAAGTGAGGAAGGATCCTGTGCTGTATATCCTTTTGTGTATTTCATTGTGTTTTATTCTCTACATAGCTCACAGCACTGGGCCCACAGTCTGACCTTTTATCTGAACTTTATTTCTAAGGAGCCACTCTGCAAAAATTATTAGAAAAGCCTTACTTGAATGATAGTGTTTTATTTTAGCAATATAATGCAAACTTGACAAGCTCTGCATCACTGGAAATAGTACTAATATTTGGTTGAGGATTAGTGTGTCATCAACCTCTAGGTGTAGGCCTGGTAGGTGTCTGTCATTCATTCTACATAGCAGAACACTATGCCTTTGCTATATGTGCATTCTAGTCTGATGAGCTGCTTTGAAAAAATGCCTTGCCTAGTTCTCATAGAACCCTTAGAAGTGTCCGTTCACTCTCATAGATATTTCTGTCCTTCGGTTGAAGAATTTGAGAATAGTCTTTGACTCTCCTTCTATTGGCAGTATAGCAGTATGAGGATAATAATGTTCAATTGATTTCCCTGGTTCCAAGATTTATATCCAGAAGTGGCTAGAGCATTATTTTTCAAACCCTTATGTGCTTGATCCCAGGTGGATCTGGGCCATTAAATAGGTGTGAAAGTAGTATTGGGTGCTTCTGAAGCAGTTGGTCTGCTGACCAAACTTTGAGAAACACTCAGCAGAAGAACTGAAAGCATCGGTAGTGAACACTCAAAGTTCTTATGCATCTCTTTCTACTAGCAGTGGCCTCAGGGCCATGGATGCTTACAGGTCAAGGCAGTAGTTTATATTGAAAGGCTGGGTCTTGCAAGTAAGTAACTTGGTAAACTGGAATTTGTTTTTAAAAACTATGTTTCTTCAATGTGTCTGTGTTCAGATACCGAGATCAGCAGTGGCCAGTATTGACTATTCCTCGATTGCGTAGTGTTTGCAGTCTACTGGGACCTCATAGCCTCAATGACAAATGCTTACATCAAATAAACATTCTGACCTGTGTTCACCAGAGAGCACAGGACAAAGTTCTGTTAGCCCTCACAGTGGGTCATTTCTGGAGATTCTTAAATGTGACTCAAAGCCAAAAATACAAAGGAAAGAAAGAGCCAACGACCTTGAAAAAGACCGTCATAAAAATACAGTTATTCTGTAGCCCTAGTCTGGGTTTACCAAGGGCTTTAGAAAGGCCAACTGGTAAAGCCTCACTTTGAGATTCACAGTGATTTGAGGGGAAGCTAGGTTCCTTAGTCTTTGGGTTTCTTTTCTCAGGACTGGAAGCCAGGGCCTGAACAGTCATCACTTGTCACCATGTCCCTCCCCCACCTCTTGCCCAGTTCTCCGTTATAGGAGCTCCAGTTCCAGGGCTATAGTATTTTCTCAGTTGGTCTTTCTCTGGAATTCTTTCCTTTGATTACGTAAGCTCCCACTGCAGTAAGCCAGGAAGTCACAGTTCTCTTGCTAGTCCAAATTGATTCTGTAAGTCCTGCCTACTCTCTAGGGAAGAGAATTCTCAGATTCTTTTAGCCTGCCAGGGAGGTGGAGCATGGGCTGGCTGAAGCAGTGAATTGCCTCTAAGAACCTCGTTTTCAGCTCTGACTCAGCAATTTCTTCTTCCTGGAGCTCAGCCTCTTCCACAAAGCGCTGTCATTGCCAGGAACCTTCGAGTCATCCTCCACCACCTGCTGCTGGAAGCTGTCATTTCATCTTTTGACAGCTCATCTAAAACAAGAGGTGTCAAAATTGCTTTCTCTAATGAGATAGAATTCAATAAAATCGTTCAGTCTTCATTTAACAGAAAATACTGTTGTTTGTTTAGTTTATACCAAACAGACCCGAGAGAACAGTTCACATTCTTTCTTGCCATTTATTTTATTTTTAGTGACTTAATGTTTTCCTTTATATTGGAAGCATGTTACACCTTTACTGGCAAATCTGGTTCAGACCTGAATGGGGGAGTTCTGAAGAAGTGCAGGAAACCCTTGAAAGCCAGCCTATTTGTTGCCCTCAGTCTCTCTTCCAAAGGCTGGAGCTTGGGAGGTTGATGGGGAAGCAGCACCACCTGTCGGCCTTTTAAGTTACAGATTCCAAGTAGGTTCTTTCTGTCTACCATGGCAGTTTCAATTTTGTGCTATGATTCCTTGTATCCCTACAATCAGGAACAATAACCTGCCAATCATCATGAGATGAGATGTCTTCTGATTTTTGAAATGACTGGATTTCTAGTTAAGTTAGTTTTCTATAATACATGTGAAAATCCCTGGTGAATTATTAGTACTTACATAGTAGTAACGTAGTGGTATGGTATTTAACCCAATTTTTAAGTAAAGCCAAATTATGCCATGGATAGCATTGTAAAGTTGGATTTTCAAGGGAGAAAATGGAAATGGGCCCTAAGAGTACTGTTAAAAGTACTCTATTTAAAAAGTAGATTAAACTCCCAAGTACTTTTATTAACTACTTGAGGTCCACAAAACCCCAAGAACCCATTCAGATTTACTCTATGCTGTATAACATCAGGACTCCTTTAGAAGGGCTTTTATTAAACGTGGGCAATATGCCGAGGACCCAGTCATCCCTTGTATTCTCACTGAGTCCTAATGCCCTGAATGAGGCAACCTCATAAGGCCTGTTCCAGGGCAATGCATCTCAAACTCTGCTGTGCACACAAGCCACTTGGGTCTCGTTAAAATGCACTTACTAATTCAGTAGGTCTGGTGTGGGGCCTAAGATTCTGTATTTCTAACAGACTTCCACTTGATGCCAATGCTGTTGGTCTGTGAGCCACACTTTGAGTAGCAACATTCTAGAGGAAGGTCTTACTTAGACTTTGCATAAGGGATATCTGGGCTTGCCTGTTATGGATATATTTCTTTATTCATATACCACCCACCTAACTTGAAAGAAGAAAGTAGCCTATTTCTTTTCTCCACAATTCCTTTCTTCTGCTCCCTGCCCTATCCTTTCCTCCCCTTCTTGAACAGAAGCTGCTTAGCTTAGCAGTGGCAGGTATCCCTTGAGGATTTCGTTTTTAAAAAATCGTTGAAGAGGTGTAAAGGACCCTGCTTGCTGAAAGGAAAAGGAAGAGTGACTGGGCCTCCCCCAGGTCATCCCAGTCTTGAGCAGGCCCCTGGGAAAAATTTACTGACTGACATAGTCTCCAGAAAAATGACTCAGGTAAATATCTGCTAAAGAGAAGGAACATTTATAGAAGTAGATATAAGTCAGAATATTATCTTTGTTGTTGTTGTTACCATGTGTCACCAGACCTCTAGATATCTTGGGAAGGTAAACCCTTATTAAAGTAGATTTTTCCAGAGCTCAGTGTTTATACTCAGAACATGAATATTATACCTTATTTTTTGGAACCACTTTTTTTTCTAGGTAAAGTCATGAAGCTGAGCCCCAAAGCAGAAGAAGTAGCTATGTTCTTTGCAAAAATGCTCGACCATGAATATACTACTAAGGAAATATTTAGGAAAAATTTCTTTAAAGACTGGAGAAAGGTATTGTAGCTCATGTATTAATATCCTAGCATCTTGCAAAAATATTGATCAAATACTAAGTAAGAAACTAATTTTACAGCAAATCCCTGGATATAATATTTGAGTTTATGAATTGTATTATGTTAAAGGTTTTTTTTTTCTACTCATTTACTTTATTATATAGGATTTCTATCCAACAAGAATGCTTACATTTCTTCCCTCCCACTGTCATATGGCTGCAGGAGGGAGTTAATTGGATTTGGCCAAAAGAAACCTCAGCTCCAGTTGTGCAAGGGAGAATTTGTCTCAGAGGCTTGCATTCTGTCTGCTGTTGCAGAGAGATGTTAGTGTGATGCCCCATCCTTCTTGATTCTTATTTGCGTTAGGTACTTTCTGCTCTTAAAACCATGTATCCTGTATCTGCCTAGGTGATTTTAAACAATCTTATTCTCAATTTGGGTAATGTAGGCAGAGGCCAAGCTGAAGTTTACATTCTGAATAGCTCTGGAAATAAGGTTTAATAAGTGAATAGAGTAGGGATAATGTTTCTAAAGGAGACTGGGTATGGGAATAGTTCTTTATTTCTGTTTTTCCAACTGTGGTATTCATATGCCTAGAAAGGATTGTGGCGATGTGCCAAGGAGTCCAAGATACTACCATAAGAGTTACCTTTTTTAATGATAACTGATTTTAAACATTTTACTATCAGATAAATATTTATCTATATCCTATATAATAAGAGAGGGATATGCTAATTAGTCATGTATGCAAATTGACTAGCACTCCAACACACAAGATGGCTGCCCCCATGTGGCCACAAGATGGTTGGCAGGGGAGGGCAGTTGGGGGCGATTGGGCCGGCAGGCAGGAGCGGTTAGGGGCAATCAGGCAGGCAGGCGAGCGGTTGGGAGCTGCAGTCCTGGATTGAGAGAGGGATGTCCGACTGCCCGTTTAAAGGGGCAGTCGGATATCCCTCGAGCGGTCCCAGATTGGAGAGGGTGCAGGCTGGGCTGAGGGACACACCCCCCCCCCAGTGCACGTATTTTGTGCACCGGGCCTCTAGTATACATATATATATATATAAAAACCTAAGCGACCGGCTGGTAGCTATGATGTGCAATGACCAATGCAGGAGCTGCCGAGCGACAGCAACTTTGCAGAGTGCCCTCTCGCACTCTGGGACCCCTCGGGGGATGTCGGACTGCCAGTTTTGGCCCGATTACTGCAGTCCAGGCCAAGGGACCCCACCTGCCTGAGGGACCCCACTCACTCCATAGATGCCCTTCAAGCCCCAGCGCCGCTCCAGTTGTGGCAGGCCAGGGAGAGACCGTGGGAGGTTGGCTCCAGGGTGTGTCAGGCCCGCCTCACCCAGCCCTGCCCCGCTGGCCACCTTCTAATTAACTTTTTTTTCAACGTGCATGAATCCGTGCACTGGGCCTCTAGTCCTAATAAAAGAGTAATATGCAAATTAAACGTAACTCTGCGACAAAGATGGCGGCACCCATAGCGGTGGGGCAGGACGCTGGCGGCGTCACCCTGGCAACGTGAGCCCAGCAGGCATTGCGTCGGCGACCCGCGAGCAGGCAAGCACGACTGCAGGCAGCTCCCAGCAGGGCCTGCTCCCAGGTCGCCGCAGTGATCCTCGAGCAGGAAAGCGCTGCCCACAGGCATCCCCCAGCAGGGCCTGCTCTCGGGTCTTCGGGGTGATCTGCGAGCAGGCAAGCGCGGCCTGCAGGCACCACCCCACCCTGGCCACAGCTCAAGGGAGAGAACAACACGCAGGCGAGGTCAGGAGCCTGAGAGATCAACACAGAGGGGCACCTGCTCCAAGCCTCCACGGTGTGGCTTGGGGGCATGTCCCCAGCAGATACACACACACACACACACACACACACAGGGCGACTGCTCTGAGCCTCTGATGCAGCTGGGGGCAGGCCCCCAACGGGGACACACACACTCACTCACACACACACACGGGGTGCCTGCTCTGAGCCTCCGATGTGGCTGGGGGCAGGCCCCCAGCGGACACACACATGCGCGCGCGCACACACACGGGGCGCCTGCTCCGAGCCTCTGCTGCCAGACTGTGGCCGTCAGTAGGGCATCCACTGAGGGCTCCCAGACTGTGAGAGGGGCAGGCTGGGCTGAGGGACCCCCACCCCCCAGTGCATGAATTTCGTGCACTGGGCCTCTAGTTTTATAATAAAAGGAAATAATAAAATTATATATTTTTTCCAAATCTCACTAATTTAGATCGACTACCTATCCAGACACCTTTGACTGAAGAAATGATGCTTTGCTATAATTGCAGGGAAATCTGAGGGCTTATTAGAGTATTTACCTTTTTCTATCTCCCCGTTTTCTTTTGACTAGGAAATGACTAATGAAGAGAAGAATATTATCACCAACCTAAGCAAATGTGATTTTACGCAGATGAGCCAGTATTTCAAAGCCCAGTCAGAAGCTCGGAAACAGATGAGCAAGGAAGAGAAACTGGTACCATTTTTTTAAATTTCTGAGGAGTTTGGAATAGGGATTGGTTCAGCCATTTTTCTTCTTGGTTCTTATAAGATAGCTTTGACTTGAGTAATCTCACCTGGCTCTGTACTAAAGATTTAGGATTCTCAACCTAGTGGAGTAGATTTTCTTCAGGGTTTTGTGTAGACTGATGTGAATAAGCACTTTGATGGTTCAGTATAAAAACCCTGGTGCTGCTGACCTAAAAACTCCCAACAATATAGTTTTTAAGGATTGACAGATCTGTCTCACTCACAGTGGCTTCTGGATGTTAGAGAGCTATGATAGATCAAATACTACTGGCCATGTACCTCCCTCTTCTCTGATCTACTTTACACTGGAATCTAGCCATGCTTATTTATATGCATCTTCCAGCCTTGACCATCCTTTTTCCTGAAGGATCTTTTCAGTATCCAGCTGGGATGTCATTTTTTTCTAGAGCAGTGATGGCGAACCTGTTGAGCTCGGCGTGTCAGCATTTTGAAAAACCCTAACTTAACTATGGTGCAGAGTCACATATAGAAATTTTTTGATATTTGCAACCATAGTAAAACAAAGATATTTTTTGTAGTTATATTTTTAAATGCCATTTAACAAAGAAAAATCAACCAAAAAAATGAGTTCATAGGCTCAGTGGATAGAGTGTCGGCCTGTGGACTGAAGGGTCACAGGTTAGATTCTGGTCAAGGGCACCTACTTCAGTTGCAGGCTCCATCTTAGCCCTAGTTGGGGTGCATGCGGGAAGCAACCAATTGATGTGCATCTCTCCCCCTCCTTTTCACTCTCTCTAAAAATCAATGGAAAAATATCCTCCTGTGAGGATTAACAACAACAACAACAAACTACCAAGGTAATCTATATATATAAAAGAGTAATATGCTAATTAGACCGGATGTCCTTCTGGACAACCTTCCTGACAAAGCTGGGGCTGCAAGTGCCAGCCAGTGGTCGAAGGGAAGCCCCGGTCCTGGGTGCCAGAGGGAAGCCGGTGCCAGCAGCCAGGGGAAGGAAGGCCTACTCTTGCATGAATTTCATGCATCTGGCCTCTGGTATATTTATAAACATATATCCTTAAAGATGACAGAATCAGTTTTGAATTTACAGTTGAATTAGTCCTTATAGGTAGATATTTAGAGAAATTTTATCGTATTTAAGTTTGAAAATTCTATTAGAGGTTTTTCCGTAATTGAATTCATTTCTTAGCAATTTTTAGACTTTACTTTGACCTGTTCTCACACAAGAGATAAGAATAAGTAGAGAACAGCCATTTGAACCCATTTTGAGTATTTTCTTTCTGTCTTCCAGAAAATCAAAGAGGAGAATGAAAAAATACTAAAAGAATATGGTTTCTGTATTATGGATAACCACAGAGAGAGAATTGCCAACTTCAAGATAGAACCGCCTGGGCTTTTCCGTGGCCGTGGCAACCACCCCAAGATGGGCATGTTGAAGAGACGGATCATGCCTGAGGACATAATCATCAACTGTAGCAAGTGAGCCCGGTTCATCTTTTGGGCCAGAAATGAAGTGGGGGCTTCCTTTGTTCTTAGTAGTTGGGAATATTTCCCACGTTAGAGAACTGATTAGGGCAGCTCAGTATTTCCATGTGTACATCTCCAAGTGTGTTTAATGTATTGATTGGTGAGGAAGAAACTTGGACGTATATGCTCAGCAGATTAATCCACATTAGGTCAAGAAAGGTGAAATTGTTCCTCATGTGTCCTCATTTCACTGCCCTCCTGTTTTGTTATTTCCACAGAGATGCCAAGGTTCCTTCTCCTCCTCCAGGTCATAAATGGAAAGAAGTCCGACATGATAATAAGGTTACTTGGCTGGTCTCCTGGACAGAGAACATCCAGGGTTCCATTAAATACATCATGTTGAACCCCAGTTCAAGAATTAAGGTAAGGGGTGGCTCAGAGCTGCCCCAGTTAGTGGGTAGTTTCTTTTTGTTGAAATGTAATGTTTTCAGACTTTAGAATCACTTGGACAAATTAAAAACCCTCCCCACAAAAAGAAAGCAAGTACTTTCATGGTTAGCATTATCCAGTGACCTCCCTAACATGTATCCGTTTTTGCATCACATTGTAATCTTGCTCATTTATTCACAAATATTTGCTGAAATCCCAGTATGTGCCTGACACAGTATGTACATGGTGCTAGGAATGGTATTAGTAAACAAGGTAGCTGCCTTCACATTGCCTGCTAGCCAGTGTTCAGAATGTACATGTATATTGGCTTCTACAGCTCCTTTCCTTTTCCTCACCTTTCCTGGCTCTGAAGAAGGGAATGTAATTGCTCTGAATCCAAAAAAAAGTTGTAAAATCTTACATAATCTGACTTGTCAAGGTTTCAGGTGAGTAGGTTCCACCAGGACCAAGTGGGATAATGCATATGAAAGCATGTCACCAACTGCTGAACACCCACATGATGTTATTGAAAGGGGAAAACTGGGAAGGGCAGTCAGTTCTTGTTAGCCAGCAGGAATACCCTGCTTGGGAGAGTCCCACAAACTTCCTTCCTTAGATATACTATGGAAATGTGATCAGCAGACTGAAAGAGAGATGAGCTCCATAAGAAAACAGTCAAGGAATTAGTTCCATGTAGACTGTGACTGTTTACATGCAGGGGACTGGGACTAAAGACCTTCTTAATCTTGGTTTATAGGTCATTAAACGTTTGTTTAACCAGTAAGGCCATAGCTCAAAAGGCCATGTATCTTAGACTAAACTGCACCGTTTTTAGCTCATAATCCTGTGTTCTAATGAAAATTGCCCATTTATGTTTTCTTCATTTTGAAAATGTCACTTTTTCTAGTTTAGAGTAAGTAGAGAATCAGAAAGAGAACCTCATGGTGAGCAAAAGTGAATTCATGTAAAGAAATGTATTATATTGTATTCCCTTTTGAAATCCCACACAGGTGGATAAACAGCGGTTTTAACCCTCAAAGAACTTGTGGTCTGGTGGGCAAATTCAGTGAGAATTCAGTTATACTAGAAGAAAGGCATATATTAAATGCTTTAGATAAATAGAGCAGTTATTCTCAGCAGTTAAGAGGCCAGGAACAACTTTATGAAGGAAATTCAAGGAAGGCTAGAGAGGGATGCAGGCCAAATCTTCAGACATTTCCTGAAGGTTTTTTATATTATCCTAAGTCCAATAGGAGGCCAATGGGTCTTAAAGAGGGTGAGTAATACCAGGTTTGTGTTTTAGGAACCTGTGACATAATTGATCATTCTGACTGCTGCTCTGTGGATTAGATGCAAACAAGTAGGGAGACTCTTTAGTATTCCAGGCAAGAAATGGTGATGACCTAAAATAAGTGATGGCAGTACTTCAAGGGCAGAGATTTGTGCAGGTTTCTGGATGATGGTTATGGCAGTGAACCTAGAAGTCACCCACATGTAGGTCCTGCCTAGAACCTTATATCCAGTGGCTGACTCTAGTCAGCTGGGTTGTGATCCTAAGAGTCAAGAAGATGGTTAAAGACTTGGCAAGTGGTATTTGTTGAGGGGAAAAGAAATGTGAATCCTTCAGCTTTTACAAGAGGCCCAGTGCACGAAATTCGTACACTGGGGGGGGGGGGGGGGGTGGGGTCCCTCAGCCCACCCTCTCGCAGTCTGGGAGTCCTCGGGGGATGTCCGACTGATGGTCAGCTGCCGCGGAGGCGGGAGAGGCTCCTACCACTGTTGCTGCGCTCGCCAGCCATGAGCCCAGCTTCTTGCTGAGCGGTGCTCCCCCTATTGGAGCGCACTGACCACCAGGGGGCAGCTCCTGCGTTGAGCGTCTGCCCCCTGGTGGTCAGTGCACGTCATAGCTACTGGTCGTTTTGCCGTTAGGTTGATTTACATATTAGCCTTTTATTATATAGGATAGGATTGATTTCAGAGAGGAAGGGAGAGGGAGAGAGAGATAGAAACATCAGTGATGAAAGAGACTCATTGATAGGCTGCCTCCTGCATGCCCCAGATGGGATCAAGCCTGCAACCTAGGCCCGTGCACTGACCAGGAATTGAACTGTGACCTCATGGTTCATATGTCAGTGTTCAGCCACTGAGCCACACCAGCTGGGCAGTGGATTCTTTTCCATTACAGAGGGTTGACTGAGTAGGGGAAGAGGACAGGGGGTTAAAGGCAGCCCCTCTACAGTGGACACCTTGTTTTACTGAGATGGTTTTGATAAAAACCTTGGCTTGGAAGACCAAAGTAGATACTTTATTTTTTACAAGTATTCTGAAACTTGCTCAAGTGCATTTTACTCTGGATTCTGTTCAGGGACACTGAAGGCAGCAAGTATAAACATACTTCCTGGAGGCCCGCCCTCCCCTGCTGGACCTAGACAAGGTGGCTTTTGCCTCATCCCCATCGCTGGGTCCTTATTTGAGAGAATCCTGGATCCCTGTACCAGAAGCCCAACCAACATATGAGGAAAAGTTGGTCTTGTGGTAGCCTCTGTGAATGAATTATTTGTTGGGTTTTCTAAACCTTGTTTCAGTGGCATGACTAAGGGACTGAGGAAATAAATTCTACAGGACTTGGAAGAGTCAGTGTCAGGCTGTGGTAGGCCTCTGTGCCTTTTAGAGTATGGGGAGAGAAGCCCACTTCTGAGCTGGAGACTGTATTGTTGTAGATGAGCCTTCCATGTCTAATCTTATGTGTTATGTCACGGAGATGTATTACTGACTTGTTCACAAGGACAGCTTATATCACACCTGTTCTTACTCTTAAATGTCAAAATGTACTGAGAAAAATCTGTGAGAAATTTTCAGCTTTCCATTGTCTGGAAATAGAACTTAGATATTTCTTCTGTATCACCAAACGACTAAATCACCCACCCACAACAACATATAGCTACTGAACCTCTTGTTTTATTGCCAAACAAATACATATAGCTAGTCCACACTCAGTGTGGGAGGGTGCTGACAACTCCTTAGTATACTTGAGTGAGCTTTCATTTCTGAGTGTTTGTTAGGAGAATTAGAAGACATTTCTTGTTCTATGTACCTCACACTCCTACGTGCTCGGGCCAGTTACATTGATCACAGTTCTTACATCTCAAGGACCACGTGTCATAGGCAGGAAGCAGGCATATGTGGTTTAAAATCACTACTCCTCTTTTGTTGTGGGGTAGGGGAATTAAGAGCATATTCTTGGGTTCTGAAATTCCATCCTTGCATTCATGTCCATATAGTGTGTTTTAGGCCTGGTAATACTTCTGATGCTCTTAGATTTCTTGGATATTTTTTCTCTCCTTACCTTTCTGACTTGATACTAATTGATGCAAGATTTCAGCCTTTTCACACCCTTTTAAAAGTCTTTAATTTGCTTTAGAATTCAATTTTTAAACCTTCCACAAAAAGCTCTAATGTTTACAAAGAAAAGACTTCCCAGTAACATTATTTCCCTCAGTCTAATCAAGAATACTTTTAAATGCAGAAGTTAGAAAATGGTGCTTAATTACGGCTCTTCCTAGAAATCATTGTGTTCCTTCATAATTACATGTTGTAATCTTTGGTTCTGCTTCCTTCACAGTCTCTTCCATCAAACTAAATGGTTGTCTTGAATTTAATGAAATTCAGTTCCAGTGGAAAACTGCTGTTGGGTCACAGATTCCACAGTAAAGCTGTGATGGGGGTGTTTATACCCTTTGTGTTGACAGAAGTCAGTTTGGGGACATGCCATGTGGGCCTTTCCCAAGAATGTAAACATTTCAAAAAGTGAAAGCCAGAGGCTTTCTTAGTAATTAGGAGTCAGTTGAGCTCGATAGTAAAACGGGACCGCATGAGTTCTCATCAGGTTAAAGGCCTGAAAATTTTTCTTTAGTACTCTGCTTTTCTCCCTTGCTTAAAAGCTCAAGTTTCTTCTCTTTGGTGCAGAGCCCTGAACTTGGGTATTTACAGTCTATCATTACTCACCATCCCTAAGCAATCCATCTTTGGGGTTGGGTCTTTGCAGGGTGAGAAAGACTGGCAGAAATACGAGACCGCTCGGAGGCTGAAGAAGTGTGTGGACAAGATCCGGAACCAGTATCGAGAAGACTGGAAGTCCAAAGAGATGAAAGTCAGGCAGAGAGCTGTTGCCCTGTACTTCATCGACAAGGTGAGAGCATCTGCCTGTCACATTGCCTGATGTGTTCAGCTTAACAAAGATGTAGGGAGCGTTTACTCCTCTGGGCCCCATGCTAAGTACTGGAGAGGTGGTGACAAGCCAACATCCGGGGTCCTGCTCATCCAGTCTCTGGTCCAATAGGGAGGGTAGAAATGGAGAGAGAGAGTCAGTCCATGTCTGGTGCTGTCTGAACAGTCTGCCTGATAGGAGAGTTTGCCTGAACCTGAATATGCTGGAAATGCTGTGACATTCTCACTCTTTCTATGAGCCACCAAAAATAATTGGCATCACATCCCAACACAATTATATTTGTGTTTGTGTAACTGAAACAAAAGTTGCACAAAGCAATGCTTTTGCTGTCCTATGAGCAATGAATTTTGATATTTTCCTGTTTCTTGTAAAAAAATAAGATTATAACCCTTAAAATGGGTTAAAATTCTGCTAATATGTCACAACTACAGTTTGAGAGACTGTTCTAGAGATCAGTTTCTCAGTATTCTTCAGAAGAAAAGATTCCATGTTTTTTCCCACAAGTTTTATACTTTATATATTTGAGCACAAATTCTAAATTGTCTCAAAAATTAAGCAAAATTAAGAAACTAACTTTTTAAGTCTGATTGCCAAGACTAGAAACACTCCCTCAGTTGCTGCTTTAAAAAAAAAAAAAAAAAAAGTCCTTCCTTTCCTCCATTCCCAGTTGAGAAGACACAGTAAAGAGGTTGGATTTATAGGGAAGTTTAATATCCCCGTGACTCTTCATACTTCATTTTATAGAGAAAGAAGCAACAATGCAGAATCCAGAATTCCCAGGCCTTGCAGAATAATGCTCTGTCCCCAAAGAGAATTGAGAGGATTCTGATTTTGGTTTCATAGAGATCTTGTGAGACTGAAGTTTCTTCATTCATGCTAATCTTTATATCTTCTCTCACTTTCTCCTCCTGGGACAGCTTTCTCTGAGAGCAGGCAATGAGAAAGAGGAAGGAGAAACAGCGGACACTGTGGGTTGCTGCTCGCTGCGCGTGGAGCATATCAATCTGCACCCGGAGTTGGATGGCCAGGAATATGTGGTCGAGTTTGACTTCCTTGGGAAGGACTCAATCAGATACTATAACAAAGTCCCTGTTGAGAAACGAGTAAGTTAATGTGGCCTATTTTTTATTCGTTCATCCATCCATTCAACAAGCATTTTTGTTGAGTGCTTTTTGTGTGCTCTGTGCTTTGCTGGGCACTAGAAAAACACTCAAAAGAGAGGAGAGAGGTATTGTTTGGTGTCCCTGCCCTCACCCCCAATTCCTGGGAATGAGGGCCATCTCCCATAGCAGTATTCAACAGAGTATGCTGTAGAGGTTGGCCCTCACAACAAACTCAGCATAAGATTGAACCCACGATGTCATTTTAATGATGTAACCACATTTCCATATCCCTTGGTCATGTTGCACATTTGTTATTTGTTGCTTGGCTCAACTTCTCCCCAGGTCCTGATTGAGTGAAAAAGTAGCCTTTTGGTGCTTAGATCTCTAAGCCTATAGCTGAAGAGGTATTGCAGCTCAGTGCACCTCCCCTCCCCCCATATTGGGCTTTAACCAGAGACCTAGAGTGTAGGATCCCAGTAATACAGCCCTTCGGGCTGAGGTTTCATCAGTAATGTGGGCTTTACTGGCGGTTGCAATGCTCCAGATGAAATAAAGCTAAAGGGACCTGGCCGTTAAATGTAAATCCTGAGCTTAGATTGGATTCCACATTGGGAGTGGTTGGAGGGTGAGGATATCATTAGGTCAGCTGAAAGAATTGGAGTATGAACAGTAGATTAGATAAAAAGGTATCACTGTAAATTTATGAAGCTGATAAATACTGTGAACCTCCATCCTGTGTAAGTACCCACAGATTGTTCAAAACAGATAATTAGCGCACACGTAGAGAGAAAGAGCCAGCAGACATGCACACTGCACAAATGGTAAATGAGTTTGGGTAAAGAATGTGGTGCCCCTAGTTCTTTGTGGGTTTTTTTTAAAGTTATAATTGTTTCCAAAGTAAAGGTCTTAAAAATTATTATTTCTTGTAGGTTTTTAAGAACTTACAACTATTTATGGAGAACAAACAGCCTGAGGATGATCTTTTTGATAGACTCAATGTGAGTGGACAAAGTGCACTGGGTTGAAGAGGGGCCCAGCCAGAACCCACAAGCTCCTAAAGGAGAGGTTTGCCTGGGGTGACTTGGGCTCTCCCCTCAGCTTATCCTGTGGTGTCCTCTATGCTCTTCCTCCCTCGGGGCATACAGTGAATCCAGGGCCAAAGCCCTAAGACGAGGGTAAACAGACCCTGCTTTTATCCTCCTCTGATTCCTGCAAGCCTTCCCTTGGCTAGATGCCAGCCACCTCTGGAGACCCCAGACCTGTCCTTCATATCCTGTCAGGGAAGATGTTAACAAGGAAGGACACATTTGCTTTATGGGCCTGCTTAAGATTGAAGTACATCTTAGGGAGGTATCATGAACCCTACATTCCAGAATTCTATTTCACTTTTCCTACCTTCCGTCTGGCAGAGCAGTAAACTTGGCAAGGTCGTGATGCACTGGCATCAGTGTCCTCGAGCTTGCCAGAATGGGTGGGGTTGTGTGGCTTTTACCATAAATTCCAACATCCTCGTTGCTTTATCTCATCCAGACTGCTATTTTAAATAAGCATCTTCAGGATCTCATGGAGGGCTTGACTGCCAAGGTGTTCCGTACCTACAATGCCTCCATCACGCTACAGCAGCAGCTAAAAGAACTCACAGCCCGTAAGTACTGCTTGGCCACCCAGGTCCCACACCCTGCTGGTGATGCCCAGTGCCCTTGTCCCACTAAATCCTAGGTCTGTTCCACATTTTCTCTTAACATTGTGACTGGAAACTTTTCCCTCCATCCCTCCAGTAGAGAGCTAAGGCTTAGTCTGTATAAACATAAGACCAGTGCCATTTCCCCCATTCCTACCCCAGCTTCTAGTTTCGATTTATGGAATGCTGACAGGGGCTTTCTATCTGCTCTGAAAATGCCTGCACTTTCTGTTTTATATGTGTGTTATTTTAAAGCTCACAGAGAAAAGACATAGTGCTGTAATGTTCTGTTAAATTGGAGAGTAGGTTGTCATGGTTACTAAAAATAATATCAGAGCAAATCCTTTCCTTGAGGTTTCTGTCAATTTTTTCCCTTATGAGTAGGTTGAATTCTAAAAACCAGCTGCAGAAGGTATCACCACATTCTGCAAGCTTTTTTCCTGGAGCCCAGTCACTGCTAAATTCCTACTGTCCTCTATAAATATGTTCAATGGTTTTAGAATATGAGCCAGAAAAGCCAAAGATGGATATGTAGAAGGTCAGTATTTTAGGGCAGGATAAAGAATGACACAAGTAAGAAAATTCCTTGGCTAACACTTTTTATTGTACTTAAAAAAATATATTGCCTTGGGGTTTTAAAATGTAAAATTTATGGTCCCTTTGTCTTCTCTACCTTGGCTTCTTTCTGTCCCAAGTCCCTATTTTCTTCAGGTTACATTGGGTGGGGTAGGTTGGGGAAGCGGGCATTGCAGCAAGCAGATGAGTGTGTAGACTTTTGATTTTGAACTGATTGGTGGTTTGGGGAAACTTGATCATTGGAGTGACATGAGAGCCAGTAAAATCATGAGGATGGAGCACTAGGGAAGGCACATGGGTATTTTCTCTGGTTGTACAAATTCACTCTTTTTTACTGTCACGTTTCTTTCTGTACAGCGGATGAGAACATCCCAGCAAAGATCCTATCTTATAACCGTGCCAACCGAGCTGTTGCAATTCTTTGTAACCATCAGAGGGCACCACCAAAAACTTTTGAGAAGTCCATGATGAACTTGCAATCTAAGGTATTTTGAATCTGGATGGTGGAGTAGCAAAATGAAGAGAACTGTCCGCCATGAGTTGATATTCTGAAAACAAAAGGCATTTTTAATTCAGCATGCCAGGCTGGAATATCAGAAGGCCAGTTCTGGGTCTGTTCTGGAAGAAAGGTCTACACTAGAGCTAAACAAATGGAACTACTGATAGCAGTCATCCCTGAGGAAGACACTAGAGTGCCTGGTACCCACTGTTCAGAAGGTGCTCATTCTGTGTGCACAAGTTCTGCATTGGCCACTTCCCATTTTGAAAAGCTCAGGTTGAAATATTGCTAATTGTCTTTATTATACACGAGGATAATAGATAAAGTCTTCACAATTCCTTGCCACAGCCCAGAAATACAATTATTTCCAAATTAGATTGTATCAAATTGAAAAGATGAAACAATGGTAGTTAATTTCCCCCCAATTCCAGCACAACTATTTTTATTTTTGCACATTCCACAGGGAATCATATTTTATGTAGCTCTTCTTCAAACATCTTTTGAATGCTAGGGAGAAACTGACATGCAAACAAATAGATACTGTTTCTCTTCTATGTGCCTTTCTCCTTCCTCTGACTCTGCCTGGTACTGAGCTTTTAAGCCACAAGACACACTGCACATTTGACGACGAGCTTTTTTGTGTGAGCAGTGGTTGCAGATCTAATTCATTCTTATGTACTAACCCACAGTGAGAATTTTCATTGCTGACAGACACATAGGGTTAAAAGGAAACCAACTATCATGAAATATACTTACCAAATATATTTTAAAGTCTGATATAGTAATAAATGTGCTTCCTTATTAACTTATTAAAATCGTAAGGTGGTTCTAATAACCTATAAATTTCAAGGCAGTCATGAATATAAATGATACTTTAAGAGATCTGCAATAATTATTGATATGAAAATATCTGTACTATCTATTGCTGATAAAATCATAGGTACTACTTCTATCACATCACTATAGTTTGTTGCCCACATAATTGGAGGAGAAATGATGAATTTCAACTAAAGGTGATGAAATTACAGATGTGATATTTTTCCATCCATGCTCACAGAATTCTGTACTTGGACAACTGGAGTTTAAAAACTGCTATAGAGTGAGACCACATACATATTTTCAGGCCCATCATGAAGTTTTGTTCTGTTGAAATGTCTTCAAGATAAATACCTAGTAGTAGTACATCTGGGTCAAAAGATACGCACAACCAATGGTGCTATCTAGCTTACCTGAAGGGATGCATACGTCCACAGTAAATTAATGTGTCCAGAGAGCTCTCAAATCCTTGGACCATATGGTTGGCAGGCAAAGAACCCTACAGACCACCCTTCCTAGCAGCTCCCGTTTCCTGCCACTCTTGTTAAATGGCTGTCACCTGGTATCATTTACTCTCCTCATGTTGTTCTGAGCCAGAAATAAAAGCATGAATATTCAGGTGTTTACCTAATTCAGGAGACCCCTCCCTGGAGTATGAGGAGGTCTTTTGTTGACCTCACTCTGGAACCACTGCTTGGGCAGCCCAGGCTGCCTGCCAGACGAGCCCTCCAAGCCCAGGAACCCTCTCCTGTGTGCCCACAAAGCAAACACATGCCCCTTTGCCAAGTGAATCAATGGAGTCTTTGATGCTTTGAGAGAATTTGACATAGTCTGCCAACTTAGCATTCACAGAAATGGTTAAAAGATTGTGGTGTGTGGCATTTTTAGCCTAAGAAGAATCTGGCTAATGGTGTCTGTGATGCTTTTGTGTATAGAATCAGTTCCTTCAGCTTGCCTTTGGACAACATAAATGTTGGAAGTAAGCCATTCATAGTAAAATGCATTTAATGATTGTCTCACAATGGTAGCCTCTGTTTCCAATCTGGGGCTGTGTATGTGCATCTAATAGGCAATTCTAGGCTGAGAGCAACAGCCCAGTGTGTTTGAATCAGGCATGCATTTACTCTGCAGCGGTCCCCTTGACCGCAAGGTAAGCAAGGTGAGCAGGTCTGGGGTACCTGCACTCAGCAGCGAGAGCTCACAGGTTTGGGTTCTAGTTCCATGGTGTTGCCTTCTGCCATCCTCAAACAGGAACTCAGAGAAAAGCTTAGGTTCTCGAGGTGTTTTTCAAGGGCTCTATCAAGCAAGAAAAGTTGCAACTGCCTGGTCTTTTTATTGACTGGGACTCCATGAGATTCATTTGGAAAAAGAGGTCCACTGCTAAAAATGTTTTCAAATCTCTGTTTCTGCGGAAATACTACTTTGTCTTCCCGTCTCAGCTCCCTCTTATCTTTTTTTACAAATCTTAACCAGAGGATATGTTTATTGATTTTAAAGAGGGGAGAGAGAGAAACATCAATGTGAGAAAAATCTATTGGTTGCCTCCAGTACAGGCCCTGAACCTGCAATCTAGGTTTGTGCCCTGACTTGGAATTGCACCCGTGACCTTTTGATGTATGGGACAACGCCCCAACCAACTGAGCCACCTGGCCAGGGCTCAGTTCCCTCTCCTTTTGAAAACAGAATGCCAAAGGCAGGACATGCCATATATCAGCTTGGAATGGACTAGCTGACCTTTTAGTTGCCATTTTTTAGTCCCTTGGATATTCTCTTCACACATCCTTTTTTCTCTAGAAGCTGACAGCTCCTTCCCAGAGTGCTGGCAGAATCTAAGAAATGAAGTGGGCTCAGTCAATGCAAGGATTCTGTCTCAGCTGCAGCATTCTTGGAATGAAGGCTGGGGCCTGGCTCAGGTTCCATTGGATAAACAGCTTGTCTATAGCCCTCTTGTCAGGTGTCTATGGCCACATTCATCTAAAAGATTAGCACCCACATTCCTAGTCCCAGCTGGTTCTCTTCCTGAACATCTGGATTAATGGAGCCCTGGATCTCTGCTTATAGAATGCTCATTTCTTGGTGGGTCACTGAAGAACATAAATGGCCAAGTAGCAGTTGAATTCAGCAGTCACTGTGCACCTACTCTGTGCTTTCATGAAGCCACCCTTGGGTGTTTTTACCTGGCAGACCACCAAGAGAGACTGCCTGCCTGGTGGAGACGTCTAGGTTTCATCTTCTGTGATACAGTAGTTCTTTTCTTCTCTCTAGGCGTCTTGTATTCCTAAAACTGATTGATGTTCTTCCCCCACCCAGATTGATGCCAAGAAGGAACAGCTGGCAGATGCCCGGAGAGACCTGAAAAGTGCTAAAGCTGATGCCAAGGTCATGAAGGATACAAAGACCAAAAAGTATGTGCCTGGTGGTGTGCAAAGCTGGGGGTTGGTTGAGAGAAAAAAGCATGTGTAATATGGGCCAGGTTTCTGGGCTCCAGCTTTTCTAGGGTTTCAGAATGATGCTTTTTGGAAATCTCTGTACTTGGGACTTTTCTGCTTTTACTGCCCCCTAAGTGGCAGGGTGGGGTTGCAGTGTTCTTGCCAGAGGCCAGATCTGGTTCTTGATGACATCCATTCTCCCAGGGTGGTAGAGTCAAAGAAGAAGGCTGTGCAGAGACTGGAGGAACAGTTGATGAAGCTTGAAGTTCAGGCCACAGACCGAGAGGAGAATAAACAGATTGCTTTGGGAACCTCCAAACTCAATTATCTGGACCCAAGGATCTCAGTGGCTTGGTAAGCATTGAGCCCTTTGCTACTGGCTTGAGAAGGGTGGCGGGATTATGAGAGAACTGTGCACTTCTAGTGCTCTGGGAAACCTCTGCCAGCCTGTGCGTACTGCAAAGGCATCAGAACATTGTGGATGGACTTCAGTGGTCAATGCTGTTACAGTGCCTTTGAGTGTATTTACGTATGTTTTAAAAAGGCAGGTGCAGTCCCCATCCTAGATAAGAATAGAAACTCTTCACCTGTATTGAAGGAAAAATATAAAAGAGCCCCTCACTTCAACAAAATCTCATATATATAAAAGGCTAATATACAAAGTGTCCCCTCAGGAGTTCTACCCGGAGTTCAATTGCTCGCTATGATGTGCGCTGACCACCAGGGGGCGGCGTGGAACAAAGGAAGGCAAGGCCCCGATCGGCCCTGCTTGTCCGCCAAGCCTAGAGACCCTACTCGGGCACAAATTTCATGCACTGGGCCGCTAGTGTTTCAATAAAATAATTTACAAGTGAAGGAAGAAAGGTAGGAACAAGGAGAAAAAACAAAAATGAGAACACAGATTTGAGCAACCTATACAAAGAGTTAGAGGGACCTTTTAACAAAGGCAGATAAATTTTCTATGGTTTGCTCACTTCCTCCATCCCCTACCACACACACACACACACACACACACACACACACACACACTCACTCATAAAATAATATCCCCAAATAAGTGGCTTTTATGAAGATGCTTATTAGTTACCTTGAGTTGCTAAGTTCTGGGACTAGGTAGAAGAATCATCCCTTGTGGCACCTACTCTTCTAGGCCTTTTTCCATCCTACTCTTGTACCCTATCTACTCTTTTGCCCTGTTTGGTGTCAGGGGATTGGTTAGTTTGCAAGGCACTATAGACTTGAGCCAGATGCTTGGGTTCAGTTTTCAGCTCTGTGCTCATTAGCTGCATGAGAACATAATTGTTCTACCTTGGTCTTTTTATCTGTATCTTTCTCATTTGTGCATTTGTAGTAGCACCTACTTTCTCGTTCTCACCAGATGCATGTGAAGGAGAAGGCAGCACATCCAAGCCTTGGCCCCAGGTCTGGGCTATTGCTCCCAGAGACACTAAACCCCCCTTTTTCTCCCTTGTTTGCAGGTGCAAGAAGTGGGGGGTCCCAATTGAGAAAATTTACAACAAAACCCAGCGGGAGAAGTTTGCCTGGGCTATCGACATGGCTGACGAGGACTATGAGTTCTAGCCAGTCTTGAGGAGCAGTTCTGTGAAAAGGAACAGTGTGGTTTGGAGAAGATGGATAAACTGTGAGCCTCGCTTGCCCTCACACCTGATGGGGGAGAGGCAGCAAGTCTTAACAAACCAACATCTTTGAGAAAAGATAAACCTGAAGATATTATAAGGGAGAGCTGAGCCAGTTGTCCTATGGACAACTTATTTAAAAATATTTCAGATATCAAAATTCTAGCTGCTGTGGACTCAAGGGTCCCGGGTTCGATTCCTGTCGAGGGCATGTACCTTGGTTGCGGGCACATCCCCAGTGGGGAGTGTGCAGGAGGCAGCTGATCAATGTTTCTCTCTCATCAATGTTTCTAACTCTCTGTCCCTCTCCTTTCCTCTCTGTAAAAAATCAATAAAATATATTTTTTAAAAAAGAGCTGTCAATATCTATTGTCATGGGAATAAATTTTCATTAAACTTGAAGCAGTTGTGACATCGGCAGTGTTTTGGTTCAGACACCTGTTCACAGAAAAGCATGATGGGAAAATATTTCCTGACTTGAGTGTTCCTTTTTAAATGTGAATTTTTATTTCTTTTTAATTATTTTAAAATATTTAAACCTTTTTCTTGATCTTAAAGATCGTGTAGATTGGGGTCGGGGAGGGATGAGGGGTGAGTGAGTCTAAGGATAATGAAATAATCAGTGACTGAAACCATTTTCCCATCATCCTTTGTTCTGAGCATTTTCTGTACCCTTTCAGATAACATCTTTTTCATTTTAAATCCCAGTCTTTCACCTGAAAGATTTTATTGTATAAAAAGTGTCACAGGTCAATAAGTCTAGAGGAAAATGAGTATTTGGTCCAAAAAAAGAAAAATAATCAAGATTTTAGGGCTTTTATTTTTTTCTTTTGTAATTGTGTAAAAAAAATGGAAAAAAAGAACACATAAAAAGCAGAATTTTAATGTGAAAACATTTTTTGCTATAATCATTAGTTTTAGAGGCATTGTTAGTTTAGTGTGCGTGCAGAGTCATTTCCCACATCTCTCCTCAAGTATCTTCTATTTTTATCATGAATTCCCTTTTAATCAACTGTAGGTTATTTAAAATAAATTCCTACAACCTAACGGAAACTAAGTGTCTGCCTCTTTGTTACCTAGGGCTCCAGGCCAGAGTGGGACTCTGGGGTTGGGACTTACTTGGTACGGAAGTGGTCTGGTCTGGCTACTCTGGTCAGCAAGGGTGGGTCCCTCCCCAGGAGTCCTGCTGCCATGGGTGTAGGTCAAAGGAGAGTCAAAGTCCACACCCTTAGAATGAAGGCAGGCCCAGGAAGTGAGGGAGAGTGCAGAAAGTCTACAAGAACAGATGGGGTGCAGGGACTGTATTAGAAGGCTAGAGCAAGTGTATTTGGGAGGCAGATTTTGGGAACACTTTCCATGTGTGCTGGCCGGAAGCAGTAGGGAGCTTTGCGTTTGCTTGTGTGGCTAGACTTAACAGGAGGGCAGGAATTGAGGGTACTAAGCCAGTTAGGACACTGGATCCCAGAAGCCCTCTCCCTGGTGGAATGCAGACTTCTCCCTGCATTGATTGATTGATTGATTGATTGATTGAAAGACAGAGTGATCTGTGACCATTTCCCAGTGCTCTGGTACCCAGGCTGACCAGGGACCCTACAAAAATTGTTCCTTTCCTCATCCTAGGTTACAGCGAAGTCTGGAATTCAGGGTGAAGGATGAGATCTCTGGGTCCAATGGAGCAGGGAGGCCAGAGTGGTCAGAATTGGTCACTTAGCTGTATGCCCTCCTGCTAGCAAGTGCAAGTATGTTCTGGAGCAGAGCCATCTCCTTGATAGTCTCTCAACTCCCAGGGGCTGGGCCCACTGCAGATAATTGGGGGAGGGCGAGGCTCCTTTTTTGGCAGCCTGCATTTCATTGGCCAGTGGGGGGGGGGGGGGGGGGGGGGGGGAGTAGCATTCACCCCAGGGAATAAAGGAGGTTAAGTAGCCACCATGGCTTTGGAGCTAGAGATTGCAGCCAGGTTTTTTGTTTGTTTTTCCAGCCAGGTATTTTTTAATTTGGCGGTGTAGCTAGACCACTGAGTGTAAGGAATAGCAACAGAGAGGATCTTTCAGTGCCCAACTGATAAGCTTTAAGCTTCATGACTGGTGGGTGGGTGATGAGAAAGTAGACCTCAAGTTTGGGATTTGAGCAGGACCTGCCACAACTAGGACACAAACTTTGGTCTACAACCAGAAATCAGGGACAGGAGGCCTTGCAGGCAGAAGATTTTATTAATGAGCAGGAACTTGTGCCTACCTTTTCCAGTCTTCTGAGGGCAGGTGCAGGGCAACTAGGTGCTGGTTAAGAACAACTGTGAAGAGCATCCTGAATGGTGGCAACAGGCCTCAAAGAGGAAGCCAGAGAATGGGAAGCTGGCCTGGCTACTGGGCATGAGGGAAGAGGCTGAACAGGTAGGGAAAGGCCAGATGTGAAGGGCCCTGAAGGATGCTTGAGCATGGAGTCGGGAGACTGCCTCCCTTGCCTGTTTACCCACTGATTGGTTCCCTCCTCCCAGTTATGTTTTTTTATAACAACTTCCTCCTGTCAGGCCTTTCTGTGATGCTTGAGTCCGGCTGTGAGCAAAGGGAGATTGCGTTTATGTGCTGTGCTTCCCGCGCCAGACAGCTTGGTGCTTCCTTGGCTACTCTCCCTCTTACCCCCCACATCTGGTCAGCAGGTCCTGTCCGTTCTCCCTGCCAAATCTACCTGAGGCCTCTTACACATTTAAAACATGAAAAAAGAAACCACAACTCCCAGCCCTTTCCAGCTACCACCTCCTCCCTCTCCATTTCACAAACAAGCACCTGGAATGAGTCATGGACACAACCCTGTCATTCCCCACCCACTGCAACTAGCTTCTGCTCCATCTTGCCCCCAATTCCCCTCTCCATCTGACCACATTCACCAATGAATAAGGGACCAAACCAGTAAATGGGCAGTTGACTACTATTTTTTAAACTGCTCTATTGAAGTATATTTTACGTATCATAAAAACACCAAATACACCTATTTCAAATGAGTGGTGCAGACATCACTATAAATCAGTTTTTGAATATCTGCCCAGTAAGATCCCTCCCCACCCCCCACCTCCAACCTTCACTAGTCTACTTTCTCTATAAATTATCTTTACTGGACATCTCACATAATGTGAAATTATACAATACGTGACCACCCCCTTTAAAGCACTTCTCTCTGGCTTCCACAACACCATCTTCTGGTTTTGCTCCTACCTCTATCAGGCTGTTGCTTCTCAGTTACTCCTCTTCTCACACGGCCTGGTTTCATTCACACCTGAACGTGAAGGCTCCAGCCTAGACCCCTTTCCTGAGCTCCAGACACATTGCCAACTACATCTTTGCGGGGGTGTCACGGGCTACTCAATCTCAAATCTCTAGAACTGAGCTCAGTACCTACTACAAGCCGGATGGTGAAACCCATCCACTGTCCCTCAACCGGAACCCAGGGGAGCCATCACCCTTCATTCCTTTCTCACAAGTCCAATAAAATAATGACTCTGAAATCATCTGAGAAAAGAGTTTACTTACATTTGGGTCCTTACAAAATCCCTCCTATAATAGGATGCTCTCTAAACTTGTTGTGAACCAAAAAGCACTTTTTTGGAGAAAACACATTACCCTGAAATGACCTCAGCCAAGCTACTTTTGGATGATTATAAGTAGTCCCATGACGGAATCAGTAAACAAGGAGGCAAAGAAATTGACCACACACTTAGTAATTATTTCTCACAATCATAAGTATTACGTGTAAAAAAACCTCTCAACGGTCATTTTAAATAGCAATATGGTGTTGATTTTTTTTAGGTTTGATAATAGTACTATAGTTCTATATATAGTTTTTAAAAAACTCTTAGAAAAAAAGCACTGAAATATTTATGGATAACATAGAGTTAAAATTTGTGTTAAAACATTATAGAAGGGGTCTGTGGGTAGTCTGACCAACTGAATACTAATATATAGCTATGGGAGAATGGAAAAAAAACCTGTTTTGTACAAATGCTATACAAAAAGGCTTAGTTAAAATTCCCAGTGATAGCATCACATAATTCAAAAAGTATTCTCTCTACATTAATGTGGACAAATCTCAAAAACTTTATGCTGGACTTAGACACAATGGTGCGTATACTAAGGATTTCATGTATATGAAATTCTAGAATGGGCAAAACTAATCTGTAGTAATAGAAAGTAGATTAGTGATGGCCAAATCGGGGGCAGGGGAATGTTCTACATCTTGATTGGGTGGTATACATTTGCCAAAGCTCACCAAACTTTACAGTTGGAATGGATGCATTTTATTATAAATTATTTCTCAGTAAAGTTGATTTTTCAAAAGTGCTCTCTCTCAACTTAGAAGGCAGCAAAGTGATGTGCTTTCAGAAATTAGATGACTCAAAAGTGGCTCTAGTGATTTCTACAAAGAAATGAAAGATTCATATAAAGAGTTCGAACATTATTACTGCAAAAGTAAGAGCAAGAAAGTAACATTCACAATATATTGTTTCAAATAATATGTGATTTAAGATATGTGTAACTAAAACTTATATGTGGTCATTTGAATCCTGCATCTCTAAAAATGTTTATATTTTAGTTGCAAAAAAGCCACAGAACACCTGAAGTGACATTTTTGGAAAAACAAGTGATCACCTTATATTTGGACCTGCCATATATTCAGGCATATACTCTGTCTCTCACTTTTCTCCAACCCCTCAGCCATAAAAGGGCTAGGTCAGGTAAGGTCTGTGTCCCTTCTCAAGGTTCCAGGGGCCTTTATCACAATGAACTGTCCTGTTTGGCATTTCTGTGACTCTACTGGAGTGGAAACTTGGTCTGATCCATCTCTGCTGTGTTACTGCTATAGAGGAGGCACCAGGAGTATTTGTTAGGAGAAAAGCAGAAAAATAGGTCTGCCCTGGCCTGGGCCAGTGGCTAGCAAGGACTCTCCCCTTCTCTTCCTTTAGTGAAGCAATTACATATCCCTGCCACCTCCCTGAAGAAGGTACATCTGGAGCCCAGCTCTCCTGCCTCTCTGGGTCCCAGTATAGAGACCCATCAGCAGAGGCAACGAAGGGTCTGCAGAGAGAGCAGAGTCCCTGGAAGTGGCTGGGCCAGGCCTCGTTTTGCCTTGAATGATAGAAAACATGAGATTCTTAAGGGGCTGAGAGTACATTCCAGGTGAGGAGGAAAGCAGGACATCACCGAAGAAGTGTCAGGTCCAACGACTGAGTAGGAGGCATAGATAGATATTGGGGCCAGAGGTCAAGGAGCCTAGACCAAAGGTGGGGTGGAGCTCAAGGTGCACTGAGGTGAGTACGTACTAAGTAAGTACTGGCTGTACACCAAGGTGCAGGCTGGCTCAAAAACCCTTGAGAAGGGCTGGTTAGACATCTAACAAACTACTGAGTAAAATTTAAAGATTACTTTAAAAAAAAGGGATCAAGTTTTATGTATGGATCAAATTAGACACTGCCAATCTATAAATCAATGGTGGAAGGGGCTCCACTAAGCTATACCGTTATATTATACCTTCTATATTTATTCAAGGTTATTATCAGAAACAAACTGGCAGCATTTGCTGTAAATTTGTTGAGAACATTCTCCACTATTTCAAACAAATAAGTGTCCATATGAGAAACTTCTTTTATAGTTTATCCCTAGGAGAATTTTTCTCCCCTAAGTTATCAGTTATCAGAATAGAAAGAATTTTTGCTTTGGCTACGAGGAAGCTCAGCTACATCTGATTCTCAGTCACAGCAGCTATGTTAACCCATATTAACCATACTATAGTTCTCCTTTTATAACTGCAAACCCCATTTCTGTACTACAATATTTTTGCCCTTTAAGTACCCTAAATTTTTTTAAAGGGCTGGAAAAGAATACATTTGTGGTGGGCACAGTGATGTGTACCACCCAGATTCCCCAACAAGGAAGCACTTATTGCCCCAACTGCTGAGAGTGCTGTCAGCTCCCTAAGGTCACCTCAGCAGCAGAGAGCCATTTGGCCAGGGCTCCCTGGGGACTCTCCCTGTGCCTCTTCCTTCCACAGTGTGGTATCAGTACCGCACGCTAACCAACTGCGCCACCGGAGCTCCATTCCAGAGTGCTGATCCCAGCCAAGGGCACTCCCTAATAAACATTCTGCACACTAACCTCTGTAGAATCTGCTTCCCAAAGAAACTCAACCTGTGACAGCACTTCACCAAATAACTAAAAATAGAAAGCGGGTATGGGTATTATGCAAAGGGGTGAGGATATATAATAGAATGTTCATACCTACATGGGAGGTAACACATAATTGACTTGAGCCAGGCTGCCTGGGTTTGAATCCCATCTCTGCCACCTCCTAGCTGTGTTTTTGGACATGTCTCTCCGTGTGTTGGTTTTTCATCTGTAGGATGGGGATAATGAGAGTACTTACCTCAATGAGGAGTAAATGAGACAATGTGAGTACAGCTGTTCTATTAGGCTTACTATATGCTAAGTACTGTTCTAAATGTTTAGTAAGTGAATACCTGGGAGATCAGGCCCACAACGCCAGAGGGTCATGTGGGCTGAGACACCTCCCCAGACCTCAGGCACAGGTATTGGTGGGGGCCAGGCATATTGAAGCATGAGTGTTGGCAGAAACAGGCCCAAGCAGGACTAGCCTGGGTGATGTCACGGGCATGTGCCTTGAGTGGGTGCTAGGCTGCTCCCTCCCAGCCAGCGCAGCTGCACGCATTGCCAATGACACCCACGTACCCATATACTAGTATATGCTGAGCTGGGGAAAGCCCATATCAGCCACACCCTTTGAGCGCCCTGATTTTCCTGAAACTGCTTTGGTGGAGGGAGGCACCTGAGGCCTGGGAAGCTGGCTCAGAAGTCCCAGGAGGAAGTGGGGCCCTGTTTCCTGAAGGAGGGCCTGGCAGCCGACTGAAAATATGAGCTTCTGTTGGAGGCATTTCTGAAGCCCCTGGGGGCCCGGCCCCAGAGACCAAAACACAAGTAAAAGCAAGGAAGCATGAGCTGCATTATGGAAGCGTCAGAAAATAGAAAAGCCGACTTTAAAAGTACATCACAGCCCACAGGCTGCCAAGTTGGCATAAGAAGCTCGAGGAGAGCTGCAGCACTTAGGAGGGGTCCTCCTAGAAAAATGGACAAAGTCAGATAGGCAGGGAGGGTCCCCATTCAGCCCGCACCTGTCTTCCTTACTTCAAATGCTCTCCAAGTGCTCCCCCATACTTAGTAAACTCTAGCCTTCTTTCTATTCCTCAATCCACTAAGCTCTTTCTAACCTCAGGGCCTTTGTACATGCTGTTACCTCTAGAAAGTACTTTCTTACCCCTAAAAATTCACCTGGCCATCTACTCACATCCTTTGGGCCTTTGTTCGGTCCTAGAGAGGTCCTCCTTACCTACTAGATCTGAAGTAGGGCTCTCTAATGTTTATCTCATAGCCCTCTGTTCTTTTTCTCTGTAGCTCTCATCCCAATTTACCTTACATAACAAGTGTTTGTCTGTTTAATGCCTATGAATTCCTGGAGGGCTGGTGCTGGGTTTCTCTTCTTTTCCCAACTCATGCCACCAACGGCCACACAGGGAAGCTCAGGGGCTGCAGACAGGGGCAGCACCATCTTAAGCCCAAGCTACCTCAAGTTACACTTTATGAGCACTTATGTTTTCTGAGTTCTATGTGCCCTGGGCCAGCCATACCCAAGGCCTCCCCTCACCTACACCGATTAGCCAGCTAGCCTCCATGCCCATTGACTACTGACCTACTTAAGCCAGTGGCTCTCTGTGAGGCAGCAAATGCATGGAGTCAGACAGACTTGGGTTCAAATCACCTCTTGTTAGTTGTGTGGCCTTGGGGCAAGTTACAGAACTCCGAGTCTCAGTTTCCTCATCATTAAACTGGGGACAATAATCCCTGATTAAAAGGTAATTATGAGGATCAGGTGAGACACGTGTGCAAGCACTGCTGCACTGGGTCCGGCATTAGGTCAACTTCAGTTCCCTCCCTCCCACTTTAAAGGCTTGTCGCTAGGTGGCAGTCCATCTCAGCAGCTTGCCGCCTCCTCAGGTGGCTGAAGCCTCCTAGCACCAGGCACTGGACGTCAGGCTGAATACTCAGCTTCATTAGGGGCTGCATTCGAGGGAATCAAAACACACATACACACACATTACTACTACAAGACACAGAGGCAGCGCGCCACCATCACCACCCAGCTGGGTGGGCTGCCTGAGCGGTCACTGCTACACACACAGGAGACCGGGATCTTTCTCTGGCACCTGCTGCACGCTGGGTGGGCTGCCTGAGCGGTCACTGCTACACACACACATCCCAGGAGACCGGGATCTTTCTCTGGCACCTGCTGCACACTCTGCTGGGCCTCACCTCTGAAATGTGGTAAATAATCCTGCTTGGCTCAATCTCTGGTTGTCCGGCTCCACTGTGATCTCAGATGTCTTTGGTTTGGGCAGTTCTCTGTGACAGGGGCAGCTAGATTGCAGGGGCGAATCTAGAGAATGGCCTCAGGAAGACAAAGAGTATGAATTATTCAGATACAGGTATATCTTAGAGATATTGCAGGTTCCGGTCCAGACCACCTTAATAAAGCAGGTATCATGATAAAGCGACTCACCGAGGGTCTTGCCTTCGGTTTGTAAAAAATCACAACACCTGTGAAGCACAATGAAGTCAAGTGCACTAAGATGAGGTCCACCTGTAACACAAAAAGGCCTTGTGGCTGGAGATGGAGAGTGAAGGGGAGGTGGTGAGAGAGGAAGTGGGAGAGCAAGGGACCGGGCCACACAGAACTTGCTGGGCCAGGTAGGGAGTGTGGATTTTAGGAGCAATGAGAAGTCACGGAGGGTTTGAGGCTGGAGCTAGGAAATCATTTAATTTCCTTTAGAAGACCGAAGAGGGTCAAGTTTGGGTGTGAGAAAAGATGGGCCTTGGGCTTGTGGGTGGAGTGGAGATACCTGAGAGCAGAATGAACTGGACTCGATGAACTGCTGTGGGGTTGAGGCAGAGAGGAATCAAGAACACCCCCAAGGGTTTTGGCCTAAGCACCTTAGAGTTTCGTGCCATGTTCTAAGAAAGTGGAGACTGTAAGAGGAGCAGTTTGAGGAGGGAGCGAGGTGCCTGTAAAGTGGGGACGTGGAGCAGGCAGTGGGATGCAGGGGAGACACAGATGGGGCGCTGCGGGGGCCAGGGTCAGGGCGGGGGCGGGCTGTGAAGCCTTGGGAAAGGTCAGGGCGTCTTGGGAACTGGCTCAGGACCCGGCCCGCAGGAGGCTTCTGAGGTTGAAAGGCAGCGGCCGGAGTGAGAGGAGGACAACAAGGGAGTCAGGCCGGGAAGGCCAAGGCGCAGGGGAGCATTTGCAGGAGGGGCGCCTGAAAGGAGGACCTGTACCGTGTGCTACCGCGCGGACGCGGAGAGCGCGGGGTGGCGGGCAGCGGCTGATGCCAAGGTCAGAGCCGCAGGCCACCGGGGCCGTGGGTGCAAA